GATTCCAGCTTCCATGTCTTCTCCACCCCAAAAGGCACACAAAGAAAACTCCATTGTTGTTCACCAAAACCCCATGTGATCACTCCTTTCAACTCCTATCCCATAGGAAAAATTAATTCTCATGTCAGAAAATAACTATTTAGTATATTATATAAAATTTATTCTTTTTTTCAACGGCTACAACAGTATCTAAAGCATTTTTTTTTTAAACTTTATTAATTTCTTCATTTGAAACTTAAATTCTTTCACTTGGTGAACAATAATACAAGTGAATTATTACACGTGATTGTTATATTTTGGTTCATTTTGGACAATTTATCATTCTCTGTCCATTGATATAGAACAGTTTTTTGGTCGGACTTGAATATCCTATCTTTGGTTTTACCATTAATTGATTTAATAATCAATTTTAGAAATCAGGATAAGGGTAATTCGCGGTAGACCTGTGCCAGACAGTATCATCGGCGGAGCTTCTTTTTTTTAAAAAATTGGCTGGCGGCTGCATACCGATTTTGACGCCGCCACAAAAATCGGCGGCGGCGGCGCAGCGCCATTAAATATTTTTCTAACTGAAATTTTTTAATTAAAAATATAGACTTATTGGAAACACTTTTATAAAATATAATTTTTGCTTTATTATCCAAATTTCGAAATAATAACTATAATTTAACGATTTAGTTTTAATTATCATGTACAAATATTATTATATTTCGATTTATAAAACATAATGATGATCTTTTAGAGTTCAAAGTGAGACGCTTACTAAATGTGCTCGTAGCTAGAATACGCAGGACAATTCTAGCAAATATTAAAAGTTTAGGATGATCCAATGCTCATTAAATCGAAAACATTTTTTATCTCTAAATTATAGGCGAATATAATGAATAACATTTTTTTAGACTAGTTAAATAGTTTTGTTATTCCAGATTCCTGTGTGGAATGTTTGGTAGCTAATATCCTAAGATAATCGAATTCTGAAACAACTTCTTTTGTAGAGCTATAATCTTTATCAAGTTTTATTTGAGCATATATTACAAAAGACTTTGTCTGCCGCAACATTGGTTTTCATATTATTTGTGTCACTTTTTAATTAAGGATTCAAAATGTTTCCGTGCAAAAGAAGCTTTTGCTTGCAAGGATATATTTTGTTACAGGATTTTTTAAGCTGCATCCATTATAAATTTTAGTACTGCCATGTTTGTCTATGTTATATATAATGATAATAAAAAAAATATTAATTAAAATTTCATTTTTAATAAAAAAAAATAATTTATATTTTATATGATGAGGAGTCATGGATTGCATTAAGAAAATATTGTATTACTCCCTATATAATTGATAGTCTTATACAAAAGTTTAAAAGATCAATTCATTGAAACTCCAATTATAACTTATAACTATTGTCAGAAAATAAAACGAAATTAAAAAAAACAGAAATAGAAATGACAAACTAGAAAACTAAATAAAAATCACTATCAAAATTAAGCAAAAAATGCTAACAAAATATAGCAGAAAAACTTAACTGAAAATCAAAAATCACAAAACCCGAAACGTCAACCCTATTAAATCTTAATCAAAGCTAGAAATGTGATAACTTCTAAATACTAGTGGATTGTTAAATCGTAATTTTTATTAGTAATTTTTGTAAAAAAAAAATTAATCATATAAAAATCTTTTTTCATCAAAAACGATAAAAAAATCTAATTTGAAATGATTGACATTTCAAATATATAAAAAAAATATTATAATTTACGACAACTATCAGAATACAGATTATAAAATCTCACCTTTTTAAAATTTTTCTAATATAAATAATTTTAGGATTAACGTAGGAATAGGATTTATTAATAATAGCCTTTTCTATATTATTAATCTAATAACATATCTTATTACAAATCAAATGTTTTTATAGCATATAATAAAAAAATAAAATCGCATTTTTTAATTAATTTAAAATATATTTATTATTATTTTTCTTCTAATTATTATAAATAATATTTAAATATAATTTAAATAATAAAAAATATGTATCACTCCACACGCCGCTCGAATTTCTACATCTTCGACAGCGTTAAGAGGGCCGACACTTTTTTGGCAGCGGTGTAAGCATGGTCAATCATTTGATGTGGCGTATTTGCCCGGCGGCGCACAGGTCTAACCATAGGGCATTGAATATGATGCAATCTCTTTCATACCAATTTCGATGTGAGATAAGCCATTACTCTAACATATATTCAACAAAGTCTTTTTGATTTTTTATGTACATTTTTTGATAAACAATGACACTGCTTTATCAAATATTTAGACTCTGCGATATGTGCGAAATATCAATATCCTCAAAAATTTCTATTTTATAACTTATTTTACTGATTCTATTTCACCTATAATGCTTGAAATATTTATTGCTCATTTCTCAACATACTCTTAACCAGCTACGATTGAGATCTGTTCCGACAAGCAAGACTGGGAAACACAATAATGTAGCAGTTTACCTAAAAGTTTTTAAAAAATAGCGCTCTACCTTTCTTGAAAGGTAATGGTGGCTCGCTCAAAAATTAAAATAATTACCCATCCCTCCAGTTTCAATGAAGATCTTGCGTCACGCACCCCCCCCACCCCTCCACCTTCGTCCTTCTTAGTAGAAACCTCAGAGTGGCGCGATCACTTTGTAGTTTCTCCTTTTTTCCTTGTTTGTCAATTGCAATTTATAGAATATAAAAGGAAAGAAGAGTTGATAACCTTTTAAAATTTACTAAACTATCTAAAAAAAATTGAAGTTTCATATACACCATAAGTGTAGTAGTGATTTCAAATCTCGTACTTTGTTCGGCTTGCTAAGGTTAGAAATTTTTTTTTATAACTTTATTATAAAATATTATACAAAACATAAACTTAAATTAATTATAATTAAAACTCATTTTATTGTAAAAAAAAATCAAATATTAACTATTTGACATTTCGGTAAGAATGATAAATCTAATAATGATAATAAATATTTTTGATATATTATTATTATTATATTTCAGTCGTTACTTATTAATAGGTGCAAGCAACACACTTTATTGAAGAAAATTTGAAATCTTTAAGCTATAAATTTGGCATATTTTTATATTGGAAATATATTTTTGTTATAAACGGAAAAATAAAAACACATTCTACTAGATTCGCTATGCCTAAGTATTCTCTGGTCTTTTTATGATGAGATTTTTAAAAAAAAATTTAATTAATTTTCTCAGATTTAAATCTTGTTATTTTATTTTTAATATTTTTTTGGATAATCATAAATATTTTTTCCCATATTTAGCTTATTTTTTTTTAAAATTTAAAGAATTGTTTTATATTATTTTGAAAAAACTAAAAAATATCCGGGAACAATTTTCACTCTAGATATATAATATTTAATAGTAATAATTGTATCTTTTAGTTGTGATTAGTGTTGTTAAACGGCTCGGTTTGAGCCGATTTTTAAAAACAATTAACTCAACATTATAGCTAGGAAAATATTGTCTAAACCTCAAGATTTTGTTAATATATTTCTAGACCTTTGTTCCTTTTATAAGCAAAATCTTCAGGCCTAGGAATATTTTTTATGGATGAAATATTGAGATAGCCGTTTTTGAAAATTGGCTCAAAATGAGCCATTTAACAACACTAGTTGTGATATATAACATTTTTTTAGCTCCTTTATCAAAATAAACATGTATTAGATGGGATATTATGTATATATTAATTTTTAATAGTAATTGTTTTTCAAAATATATATCCGTTAAACAATCTCAGCACTACTTTTGCTATACTCACTCTATGAGAGGTTTTAATGTTTGAATATTGTTATCTTAAAACCTAAACATTAAGCAATAATTATAGACTATTTCGTAACAATTACCGTTTCCTATTTTTTCTTGGGATGTTGGGGAGGGGGGGGGGTAGACATTAATTAAAATTTGACGGGACTATATATTCAATATATTGTTATTTTATGTATGTGTTTTGGGTATTACTTTTATACTTAACTCTTCATCAGTTGGGTCAATAGAAGTCTTATATAATATTGCATAAAAATGGTAAATTTTTATGATCTTAAATCTTCAGAAGAACAAAATTTATCTTAGAATATTTATACAGAATTTCATTAATTTTTTCAGTAGTTTTAGTTATAAGCGTTTTGCGAGTGACATTGATGGGTGAATTTGACACCATAGTAAATCTAATTATACGAATATTTTTTGTATATCTACTATATGGAAATTTTATTTCATTTTATTGTGAAAATAAGAATTAACATTATGTAATATATAAAATTTGGAACATAAATTTTCTTTATCATCATCATTTTCGATTTAAGCAAGAATAAATTAAAATAGATAAAAAAAATTATAGATTTGAAGGTTTTTTAACCATAATATAAAATTAAAAAATAAATAGAAATGACAATATCAATTTATAATTTCGATCTAATAGACCCCTTTATGGAATTTAGGTCACCTTTATACAATAAAAAATATGACACAGGGGGAAAGGTGGAGTTAAACGGACATTTATATTTTATATATCATATCTTAACAAATTAAATTAATGTTCATTAAATTAAAGCATGATAATTATTATATATTTGTTCCAATAATAAATTTATACGAGTTATTTGCAGATGGCTGAAAATCTTTAAAAATATAAGAAATAAATTAATTTATACATTAGTCGTGCTTTACTTAAAATAACATATTAAAGCATTTTTAGTCCAAAATATTTATTCTTAATTAAAATAAGCATTTAAAAAAAAATTCTGGGTTGACTTAAGATGCCTTTAGGGTATAATATTACTTTATCCCTGGTTAGTTAAGATGATTTTATTTATAAACTGAATTTAATATTATGGACTATTGCATCAAAATTTTGTTCTCCGGACCCAAATTTTAAATAATAAGTCAGTGTTTTAGCCCGAATTTTATTGCTGAAATGTCTATAGTTTATTATATTTAAACACAATAAAAATTATAAAGGGACCTCTCTAATAATGAAATACATGCAATAAGTAGAAAAATGTTCTCAGGACTTCCAAAACTACAAAGATTGTAAATTGAATATATTATATTTACATATAAAATATCACCAGAAATGACATCTTGAGTTATAGCTTAAAAATAAATTCAAGTGATTTCTTATCATGGATTTAAATAATAATTTGTTATTTATTAGGATAGATTTGATTAAATGAAATTATATACTTGATAATTTATTCGATTTGAACTCTAAAATTTTATAATAATAAATATTTTAAGGAATTTTGCGGGAAACAACTTTCAAACAATTTTAAAAGGAACATTTGACGCCTTGCCCTCTTTAAAATGGATGTAAATAACTTTATTAACTTTGAATATTCTTTCTATCGCATAATTGATCATCATTTATAAAGAAATCTACCAAACAATAATCTAATATGCGATTGTAAACTTAAGTGGATTGTTAGCTGGATATCTCGAAATCGGATCAAGATTCCTACTAACATTGTCTGTGGTAATTATCCCAAAGCACTAAAAGGCAAAAGGATTAAAAAATTAAAGCGGAAAGAGCTTCATTGTAGTAAGGCTTTATTATTAAACAGAAATATTACATTTTGATTATTTCAAAACCATTATAGTATTATATAGCAGTATTTTACTTTTTAATGTTAAGATTTTTATATCTTATAACTGGGGTTACTGGAAATAATTTTATATTCATAAAACTCAAATATATTGAGTTATATTTCCTACTTGTCTAGTTATGTAATACAAAATTAAGTTTTTTCAATATTTTAAGTTTATTAGAATTTGTCCTTAAAAAAAACCGGACTAGAAAAAGCCAGGGTAAGTTGAAACACAGACCCGCCTAGATAAATTTTTATTAAAGTATAGGTACCTGTGTCTAAATACTATTTAAAGGTATATGTATTTATTTTTAGATACATTTTGATATAATTTAATTTTGCTTTTTTTATATTAAAAATAATGATATTTGAATTAAATTCATTTATTAATGTCCGAGTTTATTTCATCACAAAGACAAACCAGACAAATTTTATTTTACATAATGGATGATATAAACAGTAAATTTTATAATATAATTTATTTTATTTATATTAATTTAAATAATGTATTGATATAAATTTTAAGAATGTATTATTTTTTAAATTTAACAATTATTCATTATCATTTAATTATATATTTTGTATATGATGAATCAGAGACCTGCAGAGGTACTATTTGCACGGCCCGGGCCGGATTTTTTTAAAAAAAATTTCGATCCGGCCCATTTTTTTAAAAATATATTTTATTAATTTTTAATTTTATAGTTAATAATGGCGATTTAAAATATTTGTTTTTAAAATATATGGCCGACCGGGTATTTTAGAAATTTAGGCCCGTCTCGGGAATAAAAATACGGCCCGGCTCATATACCTAGGTCGAGCTTAGATTCAGGCCTGTACGTCTGTGATTTATTAAAATCGAATAATCATTCATTTAATTATATAATTGTATATAGATATTGTGAAAATTATATACTATAAAAACTACCCGTAGTACAACCAGAGTTGGGCAGGTCCGGAAAAAGAATCTAGATACACATACAGATTCCTTGTGAAAAAATGAATCTTAGATACAAATACTAGTATATTTTTCAAAATATCAAAAGGATACAAGATAAAGATACTTGTATCTTTTGCCTAATTAGAGTATTTTAAATACTAGATACTTTTAAATTATCATTACCAATTAAATTAGAATAGTTTATTAAATAAAGTTTTTATATTTATTTGTGAAGAACATAACATATGCATGTAATAAGAATGAATATTTACTATAATTAATAAAATATTTAATGATGAGTTAATTATAATAATCTGGCATTTAAATATTAGTAATAGCCCATTCTTAGCATAGATAGGGAAAGGAGACTGGTATTTTTAATGGGAGTTGAAATATTAATTTGAAAAGAGTATTTAAAATAGATTCATTATTTTATAAGATACTCAAATTTTTTAAATAATTTATCATTAGACCTTTGCCTTTTCGGCGTACTTAATATTGTGCCAAAACTAAATAACCTTTCAATTTGAGCTGATAAAATCATCATTTTCTTTATTAGATGTTAATTCTATTGGTGTTATAGTTTGAGCTTGATTATATACTAGCTATATTTAGGGCTTCTTTTATTTATATTTTGATTTTTTTTTATCATCTGACTCAATCCATATGTGCTTAAAATATGGATGTGATATTGATGTTTTCTTAAAAAATTTTGCCCTTACTATCTTGGGCAGCTTTTAATAAAGGCAGACAATATTGAAACTTAAATTTTAAGATAGTGCCCCTTTTAACCACACATAAATCTTTAATATGTTTAACAAAATTTGTATTTAAACCTTTATCATTTTTTGTATATAAATTTTTTTACATGAGTCTTTATTTTTATAAAATTTTAAAATTGGTATATGATTTTTTTATAATTTAAATTTCACTACCTTTTTCTTCACCACCATGAGTGTTAATCATCCTACAAATTAAAAAATATTACATAAAATTGGTAATGATATTCTATCGAGTGGCATTTATATATAAAATATAATCTTAACTTATTTCGTTTGGGTGTTGTTATTTTTTTATCTATAGTGTTGTGCAAATTCAAAACATTTCCATATTTTTTAATTCATTTGTAAATAAAATTATTTAACTTGTAAAAATTATAAGAATATATAAATATGTTATTTTAACAATTTTTTGCAAGTCAAATAATTTTATTTTCAAATAAATTAATAAATATGGAAATGTTTTGAATTAAATCTGCACAACACTGTATTTACCTTAATATGAGTTGTAAATTTTCCAGCTAATTTTGATTGTCATCATATTTAAAATATGGAGAAAAAAAATAAGGAAATTAATAAAAGATTCTCGAAGAATTAAGATATATATTGTGATATGTAAAATTTTAAACATGAATATTAAAAAGAATATGTATCTGTATCCTTTGTCAAGAAAATATAAATAAGAAGATACAAGATTCTAATAAAGGATCTTAGGTATAGATACTAGTATCTTATTAAAAATATCAAAAAGATACTGAGCATAAGATACAAAAGGATCTTGTATCATAAATACAAGTATTCGCGGTCTGCCCAACTCTGCTATTTAATAACTTACACAATTTAGCAACACAACTCTAAAACTAATAAATTTTCAACTCCAAATTTTATTCTCCAACTAAATATATAACTACAAAAAACAAAAATGTTAAAAAGTCATCATAATTATAAAATCTAGCCTCTTTTATACTTTTTTGGGACATAGAAATCACGAGTTCTACACGTGATATATAAAATCACGCGACTATTTAAAATATGATAAACAAAATAATTTTTTATAAATAAATAATTTTAAATAATAATATAACAAACATATCAGATGTGATATATCAGCTCAATAAATTTTTTTTTAGCTCACTTCGAAATTTGAATTTTAACAATATAATCAGATACATTCCTAAAAATTTATCATTATCTAGATATGTTTTTAGACGATATATCTTTCTATAAATCCTTTTCGACGATGTATCTGCATCTAGTCCTATTTGAAAAGTATCTTTTAACAACTATAAATTTTGATTGCAACTATTTATTTACACGTTATATAATAGAGTTGGTTAATAAAATTCAATATTTCTAATAAGATTAGTAAATTTGATTAAAATCAACACTTTTATTAAGTTTTATTAAATATATGGCCATGCTGCCTTGGCTACAACTCTATCTTTACCTCCTACATTTTAAACCAAGTAAAAAAATTAATGAATTGACGTATATATTCTAATTTTAACCCATATCAGACTTTAGCCTAGTTTTAGGAAAATATACTAACCCTCCCAGTGGCGTATCCAGGATTTTCTTATGGGGGGGGGGGAATTTTTAATAATAATTATATTTCTATTTTTGTATATTATTTACTAATTCTTGCTTATGGATATTACAAGCCTATTTTTTATTATTTCAAGTTAGGTATATTATATTTATCAGAGACCTGCAGGCCCGGCCCTAGGCCCGGACCGGGCCGGAATATACCCGGGCCGGGCCCTAAAAAATTTTTTTAAAATATATCCGGGCCAGGCCCGGCCTAAGATTGTTAAACCCGGGCCGGGCCCTAATATTTTTTATAAAAATTTTTACATTATGAGTTAATGGTTATAAGATTATATTATATTATAGTTATGATTAATATAATATTGGGTGATGGTTAACACTACCTAACACCTCGATCTAATTATTAACCTGCAAATTTATTCAAAGTATTAATATATTTTTTTATAATTCATATCTAAATTTTTACAACATATTTTACCAAAACAATCAAATAAAGGAATATCTTAAATAAGCCCCAATATTCAAGTATTATTAATATATTTTTTTATAATTCATATCTAAATTTTTAGAATATATTTTACCAAAACAATCAAATAAAGGAATATCACTTCTTGAAGTTTGTAATACCTTTCAAAGCGAAAAAGAAAAAATAAAATTGATTTTACTTAATATAAAGCATTTTTTAATTGAAATTTTGTTTTACACAAGTATCATTTTATTTCTCTTTTTCTCTGTCCCAAATTCAAGCAATTACATATATAGTCAGGGACAGATCGCAAGATGACGGAAAACTATATAAAAGATTATATTAAATTACAAGAGGCTCAGGAAGTAAATGAAATACCATCGACCAGTCAAATTACGACTGTTGTTAAACAAACTGAATCGTTTTATGACAAATGGGGCGATGGTAATTCAGGTAATATGTCAATACCGATGATGAATATTATAATTACATAAATAAAAAAATAGATGAAACATTTAAAGTGGATAATTTGTTAGAGTGGTGGGCGGTTCATCAAAGCGAATTTCCAATTTTAGCAAAATTGGCAATTCCTGCTTCAAGTGCAAGCTGTGAGCAGAATTTTTCCACTACGAGAATTCTTGAAGAAAGAAGAAGTAATCTTCAACCTGAAAAGATAGATATGCTTCTCTTTCTTCATGATAATTTGTGAATTTTTAATATCTTTCTTGAGTATAGGGTTTCGTCAATCATGCTGGTTTTTTACTTTGCAAACTGTCAAATATTTATTGCATTTATTTATTATATTTACCTTGAGTCATGAAAGTTTTTAATCCAACATTTTTCATTATTTTTTTTTACAATATTATATAATACAATTATCTTCTTTTGTTAAAAATTTATATTATAAAATAAATTAATATTGTGCAATTAGATTATATTTTCAAAATACTATTTATTATACATGCATTTTTTTAAATAGCGATTTATTTTTATTTTATAAATTAAATGGTAAATTAAATACAATATATTATATTCTCAAAATATTTTCCATTTTTATAAATTAAATATTAGTTTTATTTTTTTTAAATGCAATATAAAATATAGTATATTCTCAAAATATTATTACCATTTTTATGAATATTAGTTTTATTTTTATAAATGCAATATAAAATATAGTATATGCTCAAAATATCCATTTTTATAAATAACAGTTTTATAATTTTTATAAATTCAATATAATATTCTCAAAGTATTAGCTTTTTACATGTATTTTTTAAATAATAAGCGATAATACTCGCTGAAAAATATGGTAAAATACCTCATAGGTGAATTTTTGTATATACCAGGTCGAATATAATTTTAAAAAATTCCGAGCCGGGCCTGAAATTTTTAAATCCGGGCCGGGCAGGGCCTAAAAAATTTAAAACCGGGCCGGGCCGTGCAAATGGTACCTCTGCAGGTCTCTGATATTTATTAAAGTTTTTTTAAATGTAAAGTTGAAATAATGTGTAATGTCATTTTTTTTTATAAAATTTGCTTTAAAAACTAGCCTCAGCTTAAATTCTCATACAATATAAGTAGAATATAATTTTTTTATTGAAAATACTAATAGCAGTGTGTATAAAATATTGACTAGAAAATAATTAAATTAACAAGTTTTTTTTTAACTTCTTATCAAATACAATATTATACAAAATATTTTCTATAATTATAATATGATTTTTAATTTTCGTGGGAATGTTGCCAATTCATCAAGAATTTCGTTTGTCGTTGGAACCAAATCTCTGTGGATATTTAACAAAGCTAACCCATTTAGCCGAGATTCAGTACTTCGTAAATATGTTTTCAACCTTCTCAAGTTGGAAAAAGTCCTTTCATTCGTACATATTGTAATAGGCAAACATGCAAGAATGTAAAACAACTTCAAAATATTAGGAAATTGAGCCAAAGTTTCTTTACACCGATTGAGCGCATCAATAGCATGCTCAGGTAAAATAGCTAAACGTAGTAAATATTTATACCACAATTCAAATTCACTGATTAAATTTATTTCAGTATCAATCTCATAGGAATAAAATTTTGCTAAATATTTAATTTTACCAATAGTGGCATTAGAAAACGAAGAAGGATCTTTGGGTAATAAAACTTGAAGATTGCTAAAGACTTGTTTTTTATCTAAAACTGTACTTTTATTTGCCATAAAAAAGTATCTAAGAATGGGATGAAAATGGATATTTTATAATATTCTTCAGTTGAGCCAATATTTATTTTACATCTCAATAATGGCCTAGGTGCTAGACGAGGTTTAATTAGTGTTATATCATAAAATTTAGCCTTCGATTCAACGTCTAGATAAATATTATGAAAATATTTATCTACATTCATTCTTATTGTATCTACCTGTTCATATATATTTTCCGCCAAATCAATAACCTGAACCAAATCTAAATTTGGTTTTTGTAAATTTCTACAAAGTAGTGAGCTAAAAATAATTTATTGATGCAACTAGCAGCAATGATAAACTCTGATTGATCAATTGAATTCAATAATGATATCGCTTCTGGCGACACATTACTTTTTTTCATGCTCAGCCTTATTTAACTTTTGTATTTCTATTTCTTCTGTTCTACAAAATGGAAGTAAAAATGAAAAATATTTAAAAAATTATAGATATTTATTAATAATTATAATATTATTAAAAATACTTATTAATTCTAACTCACTAATAATTTTGAATTTAATAAAATAAATATATATAATAATAAAATAAATTATCGTTTGATTTCAATCTCTTTAACTAAAATTTTTTCCATTTTATTAATATTTTTGAATAATATGTTGGGAAATTGATATTCAAATATTTGTAAAATTTTGATTTGGGGAGGGGGGGGGGTAAAGTTTTTATTAGCTTAAAATGATATTTATGAATTTGCCATGGGGGGGGGAATCCCCCCCCCCATTAGTTACGCGCCTGAACCCTCCCATATTCAGCTTTAAGAAATCTATCTTAGACAAAATATGTCCATTTTAATTTTTCTTCCCATTTGGTTATTTTTGCCTGGGACATTTCTATCCGATTACCAATCTATCAATAAATTATGGAATTGTTTTATGAGTTACAAAATTTAGCGCTCAGAATATAATAGCGAAAATATTGGCAACGTTGTATTTTTGGGTGACAATTTTTGCAACAATTAATAATTTTGCGATATAATAAAAATATTCCGAAAATCTTTAATTACTTATTATATGTAATTAAGATATAGGGGAGATTTTTCTGGTATTTATTGAAAACAATTTAGACCCTTATTAGTTACATGTTAATTGTACACTTCGAATAGAATGAGTTTCATAAATTGGCGACAAAAAAAACCTTATCCGAATATCAATCAGATGATGATTTTTAAATTAAATTCGCTATTCTGAACGGGAGTCTGGTATGGTACATTAGTTATTTCCTTCTATTGATTTTGTATTTATAGCATTTAATATAATGTTTATTTAAGTTAATAGAAATCTCTTTTTAATTCATATCATCTCAATATATTTAGTTCGATATGACAAATTTTTCAAGTATAAATAATTTAAAATTTAAATTATCCTTCAAGATTGGCCCCCGGAGTTCAGCCTCTTTACCATATATCCATCTACCCCTCAGCTCCTATTCTCTGGCGACGCCCTTAATCTCACATGCACACTTGTTGATGACATCTTTGAGCAAACTGGCCCTTCTATCAATAAACTAAAGTTAGAATGGTTTATAGACGGGCTGACAGTGCCTTATTCCCTTTCGCAAGTGGCTTGGAATTATATAATAAATAACGATACCAACTGGATATACAAGCCCGATAAAATCTTAGAATCGAAATATAACAGCAAGAGACCCAACCATATTTTTGAAAACAATACGAATAGTTTGAATTCAGGAAATAATATACATTTTTCTCGCATAATCGTGGTATCGAATCTTTACATCTCAAGTGTCTCGGAAACCTACCACACTGGTACATACTCTTGTAAAGCTACTCGCCTGGACGAAAAAGATACAACGAAAGACAAATTTGGGAATGGAAAAGAGCTTATTAGTACTTCCTTAAACCTGAGAATTGACGTGGTTTCTACGGGAGAAAGTAATTATTGCCTAACTGAAGTAACTAAGAATGCTAAGGGAATATTCGTTTGGCCTAAAATATTGAGAGGTGGAAGTGTGGCAGTTGACTGTCCCCATGGGAGTGCCGGAAGGTGAAAAATTATTAAAAAAAATGGATATCTGTTTTTAAATATGTTGTATTAATTTCTTTTGATCATGCTTGTATATTTTTATTCGTTATATGGGAACTTCATCAATCAATTATCTTTATGAGATATTTCTATTACTCTTTTATTAATCTATATTGTGTGTATATGATAAACCTACCTTCTTTTATTTATTATTTAAACACATTAAAATAAAAATTACCTAAATATTTCATAATTAAAATCAAAGATGGACGAGAAGCTTGTCAATATTAATTAACACAAAATATAAAATCATTTATAATGTAAAAAATATTTTTTATCCTAGACAAAATTAATAATTTGACTTATATAAAATTTACATACGAAATATTATATAAAAAAACGAATTAAGAAAAAATAGAGAAGAAATTAAGAGGAAGTGAAGGGTCGGGGCTTCAGTAACAGTTTGACCGGTAGAGAGTTCGTCTATCTGGGATCTTGTAAGAGGCATAAATAATTTATAGAGAAGAAATTAAGAGGAAGTGAAGGGTCGGGGCTTCAGTAACAGTTTGACCGGTAGAGAGTTCGTCTATCTGGGATCTTGTAAGAGGCATAAATAATTTATTCAAAAAAAAAACTTTAAATGAAATTTATAACTAAAATTAATCAAAAATAAATTATATTTGGTAAGTATAATTTTAAAACAAAAAATAAATTATATATAAGTATAAAAATTTGTCCCTTTTATAGGGAAAATAAAACGCGCAATTATAAAATAAAATTGGCGCAAAGTAAAAAAAAGAACGTTTTTGCAAAAAGGAGTTGTTTTAGTTTTATCTTACATAATTAGGGATATAACCTACCCCCCCCCTCCCTCTCAAACTTTCCGGAACTCTAAATATACCTCTGGACGCAGGGCGATCTCCCGGACCTAAATATTTAACTTATATTTGCCGAACACCCTACTAAGGACTCCAAAAGTAAAGAAAACACAAAAACCATATGTTAATCTTAAATGTACTTAATTCAAAACAAAAGAAAAAACTTTATTTAAATTTATATGTATTTAAAACAAAAGAAGGGTAACAAAAAAAGTAAAACTTTATTTAATTTTTTATGTATTGAAAAAAAAAACCTACGAAGGATAAAAGAAACTATTTTTAATTGAAGCGTATAACACTCCTCCCTCCCAAAATAGGCAACGGGGAGGGAAGGGATGATCCCGGTCTCGACTACGCTAAAAAAAATCTTTACTACTTAGAGTTCCGAAACGCCCAAAAAGAAAATAAAACTATTTATCAAGATAAAACTAACTCTGCAAAACCTAATGCCACACAAAAAATACATATCTAAACTACCAAAAATAAAAAGGCCTCTAAAAAAATTAAATATAACTAAACTATTAACAAACAAAATTATTTCACACCTCCTCCTACCCTAAATAGACAAAAGAGGGGGGAGGGTTATATATAAAAAAATGATAAAAAAAACGAAATTTAAAGTTCGCCATTTTATTCTTCAGGGGATGGTTTTTTTCTTTATTTATTTATCATTGAAGCTTTGTATTTCTTGTTTGGGTTTTGTCGGTATATTCAACAAGATTGAGGGGAAGATTGCTATGATATCCCAGCCCTAAAATTGACTTGCTGTCCATATCGGTTATTAATAAGGTTATGAATGAAGAATGTATGTTGTGTTTTACACCGGTCTTTATGGTACCTCAAATAGGAATTCGGTGTCCGGAATAAGATTTCACATATTTTATTGAGGTGGATAACGGAAAGTCGTTAAAATATCTTTTATAAATATTCCATCCTAGGATGGATATGGGTGAACCAGTATCGATTTCCATGTTATGCATTTTATAGTTATGGAGGTTTGATAAGCTTCGGTTATGGTGTTTTGTTCAACCTGGTTATTGGTTAGGGATGTGAGATGGGCAAAATGATCTTTAATAGGGTTAACTTCCATGGTTAACTAATTTATTGTTTGATGATCTGTAGGAATGGTCTCGAACTGCTCTATAGCATGTACTGCATTATTCGTAATGGGTTTGTTTGGTTCGTGTTGTAAGGTGGAGTTTGTGTTTCTAACTGGATAAGCTCGTTCCTTTAGACATTTTCGTTCCACATGCCCTAGTCGTCCACTATTATAACATTTAGGGGCTTGGTATGGTATGTTTTGGTTATAAGGGGGCCAATGCGATGAATTGTTGGTGGGATAATGATATTGATGCGTAGCAGTATTTGGGTTTTGTATATTATCATAATTTTTTTTGAAGTAGTTGATCAAGATTCCATTATTTCTTCGGTTTTGGCAGTTTCAATATAATCTTGGAATTGGGTTGGAGCTAGCGATAATAATTTGTGTTTAGTCGTATTTGATTTTGCGTTGACAAGAACAAATCGTGACTCTCTTTTAAATCGCAATTGTGGGCGATTTCGACCAGGGTTTCCGGGTACTGAGTTACACTTTCGTTTATATCTTGGAATCTATTTCTTAATCGGTAGCGGGCTTGATTTGGAGGCTCCGTCAATTTTACGATCGAATCGTTGATTTTTAGGAATCCTTGGTTTTCAATTGCATCCGGAGAAAATATATACTTTAGTTTTGCAAAAAGTGTTGGTTCGCAATAAGTGAGGAATAGTATTCCTTTCTCTACATCATCCGTTATATTCATTGTTTGCAAATGAAACCGGTGTAAATAATTACACAAGGGTTGATACGATGCCGAATATTCTTTGATGTTTAATGGTCTGTACCCCCAGGGCGCCAATTAAAGTGTCGGAGCTTCAGTAACAGTTTGACCAGTAGAGAGTTTGTCTATCTGGGATCTTGTAAGAGGCATAAATAATTTACTCAAAAAAAAACTTTAAATCAAAATTATTACCAAAATTAATCAAAAATAAATTATTTATGTAAGTATAATTTTAAAACAAAAGAAGGGTAACAAAAAAAGAAAAATTAATTTAATTTTTTATGTATTGAAGACAAAACCTACGAAGGATAAAAAAGAAACTATTTTTAATTGAAGTGTATAACAGGAAGGATGAGCCTAAGAAAGCTCTCTTGAAGCAAACTGCAATTCAAGTTTATGCAGTTCGCTTTAAGAATAGTTTTGAGTTTATTAAAGAATTATCAAATAAGTGTTTTTATTTTAACAAAAGAGAATAAATTTAAATCGTGTTTATTTAAATAGTAATTTTTATTTAAAATATTTGATTTAATCATGCCATCCATAATACATTTATATTTATTTTCCCAATACTTAAAAAACCAAATTTTATAAGAGCTTTCTATTCATAAATTAGAAATTCCATTTAAAATTTTATTAAGAGAATGCAGTTATATTTTTTAATATCATAGTTATTATAGCTAAAATAAATTTATAAAAGAAGTCTGCAAAATACTGCCTCACCTAGTTTACCCCCCCCCCCCAGTCTGTTTGCAGACCTCTAAATCTAACCCAATAATTCTTATGTCAACGTTTAATAATTTATACTAGTAATTTGACGAATGATAAATTTGGCCAAGCTCATGGTAATGATAATGCGAATTTTATGGGTAAAGCTATTCGACATTGTAATTTGAACAGTTCCTGGGAAGAACCAAATTCTCTTTCGTGTTTTTATTCGGATCCTACAACGCGTGAGTTGCTTACTCTTTCGAAGGTAATAATACATTCCAAACAAACTATTTTCAAGGATAGGACCTTATGTTTTTTTGGCACTTTAAAGATATTTTTCGCATTTCGAGAAATTTATTGGCTTCGCTACTGGCACAATTATAATATATAATAAAACGTATAATTTTATAAAATAACTTTAGTCAGACATGAGTAATCCTTTTCGACGCTCCGATAATTTGAAAAGAATCTACCATTTGGTGTTCAAAAATAAATATGGTCAAACAAATACCTCCGAGATTATTCAACAAATCGATCTTATTTACATCGTCGATACGCTAGAAAAAATAGTACCCTACATTATATCTTCCAGATCAGAAAAGGTTTTATTTTTAAGACAATGACTCTTTAATGGGATGAATTCTAAAAAAAATATATCATATATTCGTTTTATATTTTTGTATTGTCATATAAGGTATCTTATTATCCATTGTTTTATTATTTATAATCGATAAAAATAAATGATCAGTCAGCTCAATTTGTAGTCCAAATTATTAGTTCTATAATGGATTTACCCGCAAACCTATTATCAAGCGCTTTAACTAGAAATAATTCTTCTTCCAAGTAAGATCTATTCTTTTAAAAACAGTAATGATAATATCTTTTTTTTTAACTACACACAAATATGCATTCATTCTATAATCGGTTAATCTACTTGATAAAATTTAAAAAAGTTTGAGAATATTAAGATACATGATAAAATAGGAAGTTTGATTTAAAAAAACGAATGAAGCGTTCTAGTATTATAACGATTTCAAAACGCTAAAATTTTTACCCACCCGATAAATAATCTTTAATAAATTTTTTGATCTCATGATTAACATAAACTTTCATCCAGTAGTAGGGTCAAGGTTAGTCGGCACAATATTTGTCAAAATCATCATAGGTCTGAAAATAACTTGTATAATTTTATTAAATACCACGAGATAGCCTAAACACTTACATAAACTTATACATTAATAAATACCTTTAATATTTATACTTTTTTCTCAAGATTGATTATAGTAAAAAGGAAATCTTGCCCCAACAAGTCTCAAACTCGAGTTTGTGGATTCAATTTTTATTAAGTTTTCTATTGGATAATTATTCCATTATTTTCATGAGCAATGTTTTATTAATATAATATACCATTTGCATATAATATGTAAAAATGATATAATATGACCTTTTTTGAATTTAGAAAATGTGTAAAATTTAATAATTTTTTATATTTTATCCTAATTCTATTGCATTTTAATATTTGATTAAAATATATAATAGTAGACAGAATACTTATTTTATAATATTATATAAATATGTTATAATATATCATATTTTTATGATTTAATTGATCCTTGCCCTGATTCTATTAGCACTACTTACTAATATGTAATACCTTCAAGAAATATATTTAAACATGATGATTATGAAACTTGAAATGAAAATAGGGGGTTTTACTTTTCAAATATTTTTAATTTTATTATTTTTAAACTCTTTATATATTTATGTCGCTTAATATTGTGGTCTAAAAACATTTTAATTTTTACATAAAAAATACAATTTATCATAAAATTTTTTAAATAGCTGAAGGAAATAAAATATTTTTTTGTCTCAAATATACATATTATAAGATGCTATTACGTTATTTAATTTGTATTTAAATATTTCTAATTTTAAAATAAAATTCGCTGAACTGACAAGATTCTTGTGCCGACCAACCCTGGGTTCCCCCTATTTAATTTTTCCCCATTTCCAAAATTTAACGCTCAACTTTACTATATTTATTTTATTTTCAAGGATTCATTTTTTATTACTTGAATTATATTTTAAAAATAACACCCAATAGAAGGAGGGTAGGATTTTTTACGTTTGAAATTTCTTGGCATTAATCGCAGTCATTTTAATTTTAAGACATAAATATTCATTTAAAAATGACCGTCAATTTTTTTGAAGTGAGAAATTAATATTATTAACACTTGTAGTCAATTTTATCCATGTGCTTTGATAGATGTTTTATATCCATACTGTGTCAAAATAACGAATTAATAAAATTAAGTTTTAAATCCATCGCTAACTAAAGTACATTTTGTCAAAGAATAATAAAAATTCTTTTCGAGGATCAATTATCTGTTCGGTTCAATGTTTAAAATAAGACTTGTTAACGCCTTGTAATTTTTATTCAAAATTTTTATTAATTCTTACACCCGATCTCGGCTAAATTTTTATTTTGGACCTGAGCTTGTCCTGTCTTAATGAAAAATAATTATACGCATATTTAAACGACTAAATAATATAAAATCCTTTACCCTAAACCTAGAGCAAACACTCTATTTTATTGCTTATAATCTTTTTTATATATTTGGAGTGAAAATAAATGAAAAACCCTAACCCAATTTTAAAAAAAATTATTTTCAGACCCATGCCCAATTTTAGCCCCATTTTCAGGTTCCACTCAGTCTTTCTAGGTTTATAATTATCAGACTGCATTCTCGATATTGCAACGGAGGTAATTTACGATAATGCATTCACGATAATACATTCGCGCTATTGCATTCGCTCTAATATTTTCGCGATAATGCATTCGCTACATCATATTAGCGATAACTCTTTCGCGTTAATACATTAGCGCTAATGCATTTGCTATAATATTTTCGTGATAATGCAATCGCTGAAATGCATTTGCTACAACACATTAGCGATAACGCTTTCGCGTTAATACATTAGCGCTAAAGCATTTTCTATAATATGTTCGCTGTAATATGTTTGCGCAAATGTATTAACGGTATTAAATTCGTGAGAATAACTTTTCGCAGCAACTAATAACAAACTTGTATTCTATTATTAATTATTAGGGCATCAAATGACATTATTAATCCATTTTTCTTGAATGAATATTCCAACTCCAGACTGTTCCTTATACGACTCTTATAATTTTTATCGTTTCATGCTTATCACCTTTTTGTTTTTGTACCATACCTTTACCATCGTGTTTCTTGGATACAACATATATCAAGAACGCTATTTTATGCCTGAATGACAGAGATTCTTTTAAACTTTCTTGTGAATATACGTTGCAACTCTCCTGCCACGTTGAGGCGAAAGGCAAGATTTTGCTGGAGTTACTTTCTTAATTGCGAAATATATTTGTTTCGGACGGGTATGTCTTCTTAGCAGGGTTCCTTAGGGTATTAGCAAGCCTGTGGCCTTCAAATCCAATTTATCCTACTTTCAAGATAATGAACATTTTCAGTTTTAAGCCCTATTCATTTCATGTTATTTGTCACCACCTAACTCGATGTTTTATTATTTCCCTGCGCCAATCTCTAATATTGGTATATTTATTGACCTCGTTATTTGCTTTTGATTCTTAATATATAGAAAATTTAATCATCTTCTGGTTCTTTTGTTAAAAAATAATCTACCTTTGTGCCATGTTCTATATTTGAATATGGTAAGATTTAAAATTTCAATTTTCTTGAATTAAATAATAATTTTTGATAACCATATAGTGATTTCTAATTATATACTACCATATTTTTTTCCTTGGCACCCATTTTCTTTTTGAGTTTCAAGATTTTTTGAAACAAATTAATACACGAATTCGGCCAATAAATTCTGCCAAAATTAATTGTTTATTTAAGCTAAATTAATATTTAAATTATAATACATTACCAAATAACTCGAATTATAAAAAAAAGTCAGGCTGTTCCAGGAAGATAATTCTGATGTTGCTTGTTTTTTTACAGAATGGCCTAATTTATTAATTTTTATAATTTTGGAAATTCAAATGGTTTCTCATTTCTTTATACAATCAATAAAGAATAATGAAATTAATGGACGAAATCATAAGTCTTTTGTCAGCCCAAGAAACATTTATATACACACCAAACGTTATATTTCAAAATTTTATTGTCAAACCTTCATTTTTCTACGGAATGACATGCGTTGCCTATCAAACGCCGAACTCTATAAATACCGATTTTCGTAAGGATCATAAAAATTTTACAGGTTATTTATTAATTATTTTTTAATTATAATCTCTTGATTAATTTCTATAAGTACCGTTCTATATAGTGTAGTAAAGTTATATTCGATTTAAAATTCAATTCATTTTGTTATAATTGTACTATAGATTTAGACGAAATTTATGAAAACCTAGCAAACGAATCCTTCAAGCCTACCCTACAATACCCGTATTCATCTCACTCTTCGGCCAATAAATACAGCCCTTCCATTAATCATCACATATCCAAAATCTTGAATTCGTATTCTGGCCCTAATTCTTTCTCGTGCTATGCTGACCAGGCCTCCACAGCCAATATTTATGAAAATAGTTATGATGATTATCGTTACAAACAAAGTTTTTCCCCTCATCTTTCAGGGATATTGACGGAACGCATGTTTATGGAGATATCTTCCGAAAGCAAAAACGATTATAGGGAGGTAAATTGTGATGATTAGTATATTATATAGCATAAATCCAAATAAGTTATGACTCTTAGGTTGTTACGATCACAAATTGAATAGTAAAACAGAAATAATTCGAAAAACATAATTTTTTCCAGGCTATCTTTAAAGAAGCTATGAAACATAACAATGAAAGCATAGGTATAGCCAGGATTTTGATGGGGGGGGGGCAAGATTAGGTGAGTTTTCCCATAAATTTTACCGGGGAACTTTAGGTCCCTTATTGGCCTTTTTATTCGATTTTTATAAAAATTATTTTAGGTTTTCACTTTTTTTATTTGATATTTTAAAAAAGTATTAACTTATGCTAATTTTTTATTTGTATTATAGTTAATATTTTTAAAAGTTATTAATTTTTGCTAATTTTTCTTTCAAATTCTTCTTAATAATCATATTTTATATAGATTTTATTGGGAGTGGCGGGTGTGTAGGAGGAAATTTATTATTAGCTTAAGATAATATTTACGGCAACAGGAAAATTTCCCTTTGCCCCTCCCCCCTCCCGGCTACGCCTATGAATGAAAGAATATAAAAGGGGCAACCAAAGAGTCTAATAATATTTTATATAATTTTCATACCTCTGGACCTATTTAGATTATGATTAAATTTTAAATTTTAGTACTAACTTTTAAATCTATAATATAAAGTCTAAGAATTTAAATTCGAAGCCTAAATATTTATATTTATAGAGATAACCTACTGTATAGAATTAACATTAGAATATCCTAACATTTAGAAATAAAATTGGTGGTAACATATATAAAAATTATCTTCGTTAAATTCGATTAATATATGTTATTACAGTATATTCAAGCCATGATTCGTATTCCTAAGGAGTCCATTAATCCAGGATCGAAAAAATCATCTAATATAAATGTTGTTCATAACTTGGAATCTTTTAAATCCAACTCATCGATATCGGCTTTTAGCCATAACATATTTATACAAGACAAAACTACAAACTTAAATAATATTGAAACTACCTTTTCAGATGAATTGCTTTCTACCATAACTATAGTTATCTACAAAAAATCCAATATATTTGTCTATAACGATGATTTTAATAAATCTATATACAACTATGGAAGAGTCTACAATCTAAATAATATAAAAATGGGACCCTCAATTAGGCCGGCTATAACTACGCCTGTTATTATCATTAAAATAGGTATGTTTTCAAAAGTTTTAATATTTAGTTTTATAATACTTTGTATTTTGTTCATTTATTTGTATTTCCATCAAATCGATGACTTTTCAACCCTATCCCTTTCAATTTATTTTTATTAATACTACCGAGGCTCTTTTTGGAAATATTTATGGTATTTGTTTTTAAATGGGTATATTATATTTATGGTATAAATTATGATTTTGATTGACTTTCGCTATCTGATTTTTTTAAATTAAAATATTATGATATACTTTCATTTATTGTTGTTAAGAGGTATTGAGTTAACCATTTTTAAAAATCGACTCAAATCGAGCCGTTTAACAACACTAGTTTCATTATATTATTTTTTACATATAAATTTATGAAAGGAGGGTCTAATCAAGCGCCTTTAGTTATGATGATTTTGGAAAAAGAAATATGTAACATCCCTGACTGACGTTTTACCTTCTATAATTATGATAATTAAATAAATCCTGCAAATAATACCCAGAATTAATCCTAATAAATCTTGTTGCTTGTGAAAGATATATTATAATTTATAGCAAAAATAGCAGGGTGAGGAAAAAAATACACTTGATTTAAAATTACTTTATGTTTTACTAACATATACCTTTTGATAATATTAACACTTATTTTAAATTATTTAGTGCCCTTTCCTATATACTTTAAAATTATTATATTATTAGATTTTTCATTATCTTATATTTATAACCCAGCAAATAATAATCAAATATATAACTAATATTTCTTTTTAAGTGTAAATTTTAACAATAACAAATTTACTATAAAGTAATTAAAATGAAAAACTAATTTTTAAACTTATTCAAGTCCAAGCTTGCTTGCAAATAAGGCTAGGCCAAAAGAGGAAGATATTCTACAAAATCTTAAGAAATTGCTACACTAAGCATAAAGGCGTAACCAGAATTTTCCTAAGTGGGGGGGAGGGGCATTTAATAAATTTATGGGGGGCCCTCCAGACCCCACTTTTGACCGGGTTTCTGCCCGATTTCTTAAGCCTTTATATAGCTATAAAATAATTTTATAGGATAAGCGGTAATTTTAATAAGAACACTTATTATTATTAAAATGTACGATATTTATTACCAATTTATTTGTTATATTGATTCTTTCGTTTATCCATAATACAAACACCAGTCAAAATGCACTCATGGGAGAAGATATATACAAAAAGATAATGATAATATCTCCATAAATGTTAGGTAGCTACACCTTAACCAGATATTATATTATAACATATAAAATTATTATAAAATATAATTAACCAATGCCTTAATTCATAATATAATACATTAAAAACACACATATGTTTTTTTATTATATCAATATTAAAATATATATGTAAAATCATTCAAATATTTAATAATTCATAATATATTACATTATAAACATATGTATTTTTAATAGTGCTGTAAACGTTACTACAAAAAAGAAACGTGTTACCATTACTCGTTGCGTCTGAAAAAAGGGAACACGTTACCTTTGCTCGTTATCTTTATAAAAAGGGAACGCGCATTACTGACTATTCAAAAAAGTAACGGGTTACTCGTTACTTAAAAAATTAAATATTATATACAAAAAAAATATTTATTTTTTTCTACAATATATAATATAAATAAAATTATACAAAAAGAATATATAATAAGATAAGATCATTTTATAAAAAAAATTTTCATATATATAATTATACTATAAATAAAATTATACAAAAAGAATATATAATAAGATAAGATCATTTTATAAAAAAAATTTTCATATATATAATTATACTATAAATAAAATTATATAAAAATAATATATATAATATAACATCTTTTTGTAACAATTTTTTAATTTTTTTTTAGCAAAAATTGATTTTCAAAATTTTGATCCGACAAACAAGAGCTCTTATTTCTCAATACAGCTTTCGCCGGGCTAAACACATGTTCAATTGGCGTGGGGGATGAGATAATTTATTATATTTAATAAACAAAAATTTTAATTCGGGGAATTTATTTAGAATATTTGAAGAATTATCTTAATTTTGAAAAAAGCTTAATAGATCATCTTCAAAGGATCTTAATTCATTTTCTCATCAAAAAATTAATCTTTATCAGAAAATATTCTGGTATGTGGGTTGGATAAATGAATTAAGTCTGCTCTTTCTTTATTAAGATCTTTTCTCACTGAAAATAAGTTCCAGCACTCTTCCTTTGTTGACCTATAATTTTATCCAGGGCCAATCCAATTTAAATAGCGGGTGTTTAATTGCTTATATTTTAATTTCATGATTAAGCTTTTCAAAATATTATGAAAGAATACTTCTTTTCATGGTTATTTTATACTTATGATTTAATATTCTATTAATAAAGTAATGTTTAAAATAATTAAAATATTAATTCATCTTTTTACCTTCATATGCTTTTTTAAGTTTGAACTGCTGGACATTGAGGTTGAAATATTTTGGGACATAATTTACATTTACAAAATGTAGGCTTTGTACCCTTAATTTTCTTTATTGGTGTAAAAATGTTAAATTGGGGCCAGGGAAGGGTTAAATCATCTTCATCTGAAGAAGTAAGTATTTGGACATAATATTCTTAAAATAAATTATAAAATAGAATAATAATATTATTATTAGCATTTACCATGAATTTTGATTGAATATTAATTAGATTAACATTCAACTGAAAATTTAACAACGAGAATTCAAAATAAAAATGAAGGGGTGGTTGATATGAATTAAACACTCAGCTTAAATTATTTATAAATAAATAAAGGTATTATAGTACAATAAAATATGTTTTTCTTTTTATAATATTTTTTAAGGAAAAATTTAAAGTAACGTTTTGCATTACTGTTACTCAAAAAAAGAAACTCGTTACCGTTACTCGTTACCTCTAGAAAAAGGTAATGAATGGCGTTCCTTTTCTTCAAAAAAGGTAACTACGTTAGTAACGACGATACTTTTTACGTTATTTTACAGCACTAATTTTTACTATATCAATATTAAAATATATTTATATATAAAATCATTCAATTATAAATATAATTTCTAATTTACTACAAGTAAGCGATGATATCAAAGAATAAGTAAGTCTTTTTTATATGTAATTTTTTTTTCCCAAAAATATTAAATATAGTCAATAGTTTTAGTATAAAAATTTTTTAAATTTTACAATCTTTCTTTCAAATTATTGTTTATATATACATTTTTGGGGGGCAGGGGGTTGGAAGGGGGCTAAGGAGGATATTTTTTAACTACTCACAAAAAGTGATGTATTTCTGAAGGCCCCTGTCTACGCCTATGACTAAAGAATTGATGTAGATAAAGATTATTTCTGTGTTATCACAAATAAAAATTTTATATTAATTTTAAAATCGTTTAATGGCAATTCATTCATTTAAATGTCGATCAATATAAATCAGCTAGTTGCACACCATTTTAATTTGTCATACAAACCAAGTTACATTAAACAATATGAAATTCCTTTATAAAAGGCAATGTTCGACACAATCTCATAAGTTCGATTATTTTTTTCTACATTCAAGGATTTTATGATTTAAATGAGTATTTATTAAAGGTCATTTGAGGTTGATATTTATAACTTTAAGTAAATATTGCCAATATTTTTTCGGTTTTCTTTATAAATTTTATATGGTAATTTCCATTGACCTTGGATACTATCTGTTAGTTTCTGCCTCCCTCGTTAGGATCCTTTAGAGTTCAAAATGATATATTTGTTCCTTTACACTTTTAACGACTAAATCATTATATAGTCGATTAAATTGTGAGAATTAAATCTTTGAGTTAAATATCAAGAATTAAATATAATGCTATTCTTTCATATTCAACATGTTTTATGCTCCTAGAAAAAAAGTCTGAAAAAATTCGACCTAAAAACTGCAGAAAGAAAACTTGATGGAAAAAAACTGTAGAATAAATTCTCTATTATTAAAAAGAAAAAATGATAAAATATGTAACGAAAAATATTATAATAAAGTGGAGATAACCTTTCTAAGCTAATTATAAATTCAAATTGGACCTTATATGACTAATAAGATAATTGTTCTAAAAATAGTGTATTAAATTATTATTTTAGTAATATTTTTTGATAATAGTTTCTTTTAATTAAAATTTTACTTTTAAAAAATGTAGTTTAGTAAAAAAAATTTTAAAGTTTTAAACCCAACCTGAGTTCAAGATATTTTTTCTCGCATTTATATGAATCTAAAACATTTAAAACATCGAACCATTTTTTCCCCAAACTCGGGTCAAGAGTTTGTATAATTTTGTTTAAAGAGAAGATAAAAAATATTGGAAAATTATTAAAATATCAGCTGCAGGCTCGGATCGTAAAATTTTTAAAACCGGATTCGATCCAAGAATATAAAAAACGGGCTGGCCTATTTTTTTATGCAAAACTTTTGTCGACCTCCGTAGATATTTGAAAAAAATATAAATTAATTTTAAAATTTTTAATATAATAAAATTTATACTATCAGAACTTCAATATAAAGACTTAAAGAAGATAATTTAAATTATTAGAAGAGATTATCGAATTTTACCATTTTTTTATAAAGGTTATAAATTAATGACGACGGAAATTTAATCTATTCCTAATCCCTGCTTATTAAGATGTATATCTATTGACAATTTGATAGTAATGCAAAAAAGTGATGCAATAAAAAATTTTTAACTTTTAATATCAAAAGAATATATATCATGTACCCGTTATTTTTGCCTTAAATATACAAGTAGGTAGTATTTGTTTTTACTTTATTCTACCTCCCCTTAGGTGCCTACCTTTCACTGTAGACAAATGGCTCCTACCCCCTCCCTGTCTCACATAAACGTTATGGATGGCATGGAAGGCCGCCTTAGAGTGGTTTTTGATTTAAAACTCAAGTTGATGAAATTTTAGGAGTGTACTCATGGGCTTGTCTATTCTACGGCTTATTATTTTAGAGGGAATCTTACGAATTAGAGATCTGGCCTATTAGAATTTTAAGAAAAATCAGAAATTTGCGAGGCCCTGCCAGATATTTTAAATATAAATAGCCCTACCGAATTTTTTTATGCACGAATAACTCGGTCCGTTGATTTTTTAAAATTTCCCTGCCAGCGGGCCGGGCTTTTCAGATTTCTTATAAAAAATATTAAAATTCAAAGTAATAGGAAATATTTTTGATTTCCTTTTAAATCAGCTATCTCATCTATCTTAACAATTTTAAACAATATGTAGGCAATAAAGAAAATTTAAACGGTTATTCAAACGTGAGCTATAACCCATTTACCGTGGTGTTTAAGTGCTTAGGGGCTTCATTATACGATCAACCTGTTTATTGGGATACGTCCTCCACTAATTGTAAATATTTAATTACTTATTTCTTATCTATTCCTATCTAATTTATAAATTGTGATTTATAACCATAGATTCGCCGATACCGCTTTTTTTTAGCTGATACCGAGTCAGCGCTTCTAGTTTATTAAACTAAATGAGCTGGATCTAGCTTATTTTATGCATAAATTGTTTTAAAATAATGCTTTGTATTATATACAATGAAATAATATTTATATTATTTAATGCATTATTTAATTATAAATTATATTAAATGCTTAGGCCAAGCTGTTATAAATTTTTACTGTTCATTTTAACGTATCTTTTCTTTTAAAATATAATTTGATCAGACTATTAATAGGAAGAAAAAAATGTTATTTAGAGATATAGAAGATGAAATAATACTTCCCATCCTATAAAAAGTTTTTTTATTTCTTAAAAAAGGTAGATCTATCATTAGAAGTTTGGATGGTATAACTCAATATCTTACAATACTTTCCTCCTATAACATAAAAACATATTAAAGAGTAGGGCTGTGCTAATCCACATATTTTTCACCGATCCGATCTGATATTTTCCGATATTGCTTCAAAACCGATCCGATATTTATACTTATTTTTCACCACCCCCCATTGAACCAAATGTAAAAGAAATCAATATTTTTTATGCAAAAAATCGAATTATGCATTTAATTTAATTTTTTCATTTCTACATTTAAGACTAAAATTAAAAAAATATATATTTAATAATATATCCATTTTATGTTGGTATGAATTATAAAATTGTAATATTTAATATATAAAATTATAATATATTCGATTTTTTTAAATAAAAATGAGAGCCTATAGATTTTCTGGCAATAAGCTTCTACGAAATAGACTATCTATATCCTCTGATGTAATTAAAGGCAGACTCAGATGATAACGCATTTTGCAAAATTATCTTTGTCTTTTGTAAAATATTTCCATAATTCAGATACCATATTTATATTTAAAAAAATTCGTTTATTTAAAGTATAAATAATAAAATTGGCGTTATTATTTAAAAAGATTGAAAATAAATACAACTTTGGGTGTTCCTTTCTATTTTTATAAAAAACTTTTATAATACTATAAATCTATTTTAAAAAAGAAATAAAATTTAGAGGGTTTTGTGCATTTGCATTGCATTGTTTAAAAAAAAAATTTTTTTAAATTTTTTATAATGTAAAATAAATATAGATAATATAAAATAACAAAAAAAAGAAAAGTAAAAGGATCGGATCGGGTTCTATAGGTATCGGCCCGATCCGATATTTTGGAAAACGCTAAATACCAGTGCCGATCCAATCCGATATTTAACATCGGCACAGCCCTATTAAAGAGTAACGTTGATATTCATAAAATTAAAATTCAGAATAAAGTAATAACCATTAATAACAGTGTAAATTTAGCAATCAAGGCCTTCAGATTAATCGAAATTGGAGCACCGATACCACCTTCTAGCCTATCCCGATACTGCTGGTTATCGAGTCGATAAAGTTTGGTATCGAAGCGATACTAACACCTAAAGATGTGCCGATACTCAAGGTGTCGACCAATAATTTCCATTTTAACTGGTATCAGTAGCCGATGCCCAAAAATTATTATCATCCCATATATATTACAAATATATTCCATTAAGTTATGAATTTATGAAAAAGATTTCTCTACTAATATCTAAATCGATAGGAATGTAAGAAAGAACAAGGATGTTTCTAATTTCTTTACTTTTCTTCCTTTAAATTTATAAATTTCAAAATAATTTTATTGATTTAAAAACAAATATATACTGCATAATATTTAAATATAAATATCTTTAAAATGTATGCTGTCTAACAGAGTTGTTAAGCCCTACTTTTATAAGTAGCGCGTTACGGCTATCGCTATTTATTAAAAAAAGTAACACGCTATCGCTACCTATCAAAAAAAGGTAGCGCGCTTTTAGCTACTATTTTTTAAAGTAGCTTTAGCTACTTTTTATAAAAAAATTTAGAAATAAATTGTTTTATTTTTTGCTTACAATGTAATTGTAAAAAAATTTATGTAAAAAGACTATAATTTATAATAAAAATAACTATTTATGGTAAAATTCATTTTTTGTTTATTTAGTTGCATTAATAATAAAATCATATCTATAATATCATCCCCAAGTCTAGAGCGACGATCAGAAAGTATAAGTTTACAGGGGCGGACTGATGATGCTACGGCCTCGTGGGCATTTTTTTATAGCGGCCTCATTTATATGGGGGCTTCGCCCCCATACCTCCATTTTGCGGGCCTTCGGGCTGCTTTTGCCCAATCTTCGACCGGATTCCCTTAAATGGCTTTTTCGATTTACATGATTTTTATTATTTCTTATTTTTGAAAATAAGTTCAAACGATTTATATAAAGAAATATATACGATAATCATATATTTTATTTTTAAAAAATGCACATCTAAAAACATATTCATTACCTATATAAAATTATATTCATTTGCACTATAAAATCAAATCATACATCACAAGTTAAATATAAAGAACTACATACTCAATATATCAAATCAATTAATTACACATATAAAATTATTGCAGTTATACAATATTACAGAGAATAAAATTGCTGCACATATAAAATCAGGCACCGATCATATTGCAAATAGATATTAATAAGATTCAAATAAAAGAATTAAGAAAATATATAATTTTTACGTTAATAAATCTCTCATTAACTTTGAACCTTTGCGCAAATATACAATAATATCTTCTAGTTCAATCTGCGCTAATAGTTCTCGTTCAACTGACATCATTAAAAACTCTTATAATTTTTCTTGGTCGATATTAGCTTTCAGCCTATTTTTATAATTTTTAATTTACTAAATGCTTTCTCGCAATTAACCTGCGTAAATGATAAAGTTAAAATGTATTAATATGACAAAAATTAGGAATGCTTTTGTGTGCATATTGTATCTTTTAAGAATTTCATACAAGCATATTAAACACTTGTTATATTTATTATCACACTCTGAGTTATTATGATATTGTAATATTCCATCTTCATTTGACTCCTCACTTGTGCATATGATATCATCGTCCGTTTCATTTAATTCTGCTACCAAATCTTTGAATACACTGGCAAATGAACATAATCGTTACGTAATTTAACACTCAATATATATGCCAATTGTGCTAGTTTTTCCAAGGCCTTTTCAGAAATACCTTTACTATTTATTTCATCAAAATGCCTTGGATGCAAATATTGCATATTGAAAATAAGCTCTCAATTCGCAGAAAGTCGTTCCGACAAGCTGTTTATAATTTGATCAATTATAGGACGAAATACTTTGAACCTATAAAGGTCAATCGATTCTTGGGGACATTCATCTTGGCATTTATCACTATATATTCTCTTCTCTCGTCCTATTCAATTTTTTGGCAGAGCATTCTGTACCCTGATACTCTCCGTGAGCTTTAAATATGAAAGTGTTTTATTTAAATTAGAAGCCATTTCATTTCTTTATTTAGAATCGATGATACAGAAGACTTATTCTATCATTTTCCATGCTGATAAAGTACCTAATTTTTTAGTTTGAAGATATGACAGTAGTTCCATTATTTCAAAATTTTCTAAATATATTACATAGCTGTACCTAGATTCTTAAATTTACATAATTATCAAGTTTTTGTGTCAAATGATTTATTATCTATTATAAATTGAAGTGCATTTATCGTTATTGGGAGCAAGCTCTCTTTACCATATATCCATCTATGGGTTTTTTCATGTGTCCATCACCTTATTTAACCTATTTATTGCAGCCTTCTCAATTTATTTTGGCCATATGAATTATTCTGTTTCACCCAAACATCCTTTTATCTGATTCACCGACCTGGATTTTATTTGATTTCAATTAATTAAGAACAAGAATGTTGGCTATATTATTTCTACAATAAATCAATATATAAAAATATAATATAATAAATTAATCAAAACTTAGCTTTCACTCTACTCAAACGGAATTCTTCTTTTGAAAAAAAAAAAGAACATGGTAATGATGTATAGCGTCAAGCAATGTTATTGATATTTTAAGCATTAAAATATAGTAAACGACATGACAATTATCAAAAATGATATTCAAATCATAGATATCATTAAAAATAAATAAATGATAAGAGAAAATAATGTGAACATAATATATTTCTTTTCTAATCGGCCTCTTTTTTGATATTTTCCTCTGATCGGCCTCAAAAATCGACATTTTCTCGCGGCCTCGTGGGCAAAATGCCTACCTGGTCTTATGGCAAGTCCGCCCCTGTAAGTTTAGCCTTACTAAATAAAGTATTATATCAATTCGGCGTGTTATCTTCGGCGCAGCGTCAATTCGGCTCGTATCTAATGCAGTTGAAATTTATTATAAATTTATTAGTATAAAACAAAAGGATGATTAAATAGAAGTCATTTTGAATGTTGGTTCTATTGTTTTTCTTAATATTTTTTACAAAAATCTCATATTTACCAAATGTGTAATATCAAAAAAAAATTAACAAACCAGTATTTATAAATAATCTCTTAACACTAGTAAATGAGGGCAAGGCAATGTTTATTTTATATACATATTTTTAATATAAGAAAAAGTATCAAAAATACTCATTTGTATTTTTAGATTTAAAAAATTCATCTAGAGAATTTTCTATTAGCATCCTTTATTTCAAAAAAATTATCAGTGAAAGTCCTTTTTATGGTTCTAACGAGGGTATCTTTGTCTGCTATCTCAATGTTTAGTGTCTGGCGACAAAAATGTGTTATCTCAGGGGATAGAGTTTTAATCATCTTGATAAATAATGGATTATCAATCAATGACATTGGCTAAACTATATCAATTATAAAATCGACAATAACTTTATTAGCCAGTTTCTGAAAAATATTGGCATATGCAATATTATTAATCAATTTAGCTTGAATTGAATTGGTCTTTTTGGATGTAGTCTCCCCTATACCTAAATTATTAAGATGTTTCTCTATCTCATTAAAACGGTTGGCATGAACATTATTACATAATAAAAATACTATTAGAATTTAAAATGAGAATTACCTTTAGGTGATTTTTTAGGTTATATACTATATTTATTTTAGGATATATTTTTTTACAATTTGAACAAATAAATTTGTAGCCACCTTTTGTTTTTACATTAATTTGAAAATATTTTTCATTTGGAAATGGAAAATTTGTATTATTGTTATCTAGAAAAAAATTTTCCAAGGCACCTACCATTTCATTAATATCAAAATTGTCTTACTCACTTAAATCGATTTGGATATTCATTTTTCATGACTTTTTTAATAATTTATACCAGATGATTTAGGTTTAGAATACAAATTGAAAATATAATTTACAAATTTGAAAATAAAAATAAAAATCTCGATTTCAAAATTAAAGAATATTATAGTTAATTATGATATAATATTTAAATTTTAATGTTAATATTTACATTAATTAATTTTTTTTAAAGTAGCGCGCTCCTTAGCTACTTTCAAAAAAAGGAGCGCGCTAAAAAAATAAATAATTTAATAAAAGTAGTGCGCTATTAGATATAGCTAGCAAAAAAGATATCGCGCTACTGTAGCGATCTACTTTAACAACTCTGCTGTTTAGAAATATATAAAAAACAAAACAATAGCAATTATATTACTTACTAATTGTCTATTTTATGGGTTATATTTTTTAAATACATTAAATTTATCTAGCATTTTTAAGAAAATATGTTAAAGTTATTGAAATTAAGATTGAAAATTATTATTAGCTTTATTCTTTATATTTTTTGCATATTTTTCGGTATAATCACAAATTTATCTTATTGTTTTAATATTGAATTTTCAAATGAATTAATATTTAATTAATTGTTTATCACCATAAGTATTCACATAAACGAATTTTTAAAAACGGCTAACCAATATTTTGGCCAAAAAATATTACAAAAGCTTGGAGATTTTGCTCATAGATTGCAGAAACTTTTGAACATCAATTTACCAAATCTCGAGGTTTGCGAATATTTTTTGGCTAATATTTGATTAGTCATTTTTAAAAATCGAGTCGTTTTACAATACTACATAAGAGATTTACAATAAATGTAATGATATTCAAATAACAAAATTATCTCATCCCCTTAAAGAAAGAAGGAGTATAATTTAAAAAATCGCGCTGTATTGGTAAAAAATAATATTCCGGTAGATGCCAATTTCTTAGTATCCTTACATCTCTGGCCAAAAACAAGATTGGTTAATTTATTATTTTATAAGGATTATGTTATTTTTTTTTATAATGTATTTTAATTTGGCTTTATTATAATTTATTCATAAACATCATATTTAAAAATAGGATATTTTGTTAAAATTTTTAATTAGACCAGAAAGAAAAACCACTCGATGGATGTACAATCGTAAAATATATTGATAAATTCTGTATATTGCAATGTAACGTAGTTAAAAATCTCGCTCTGTTACAAGTTAGTTATAAAATTACATTAATTTTTGAATTTCAAATGTTAAGTTTATATCCTTTTGTTACTGTGAAGTTTTTGATCAAGACACATTAATTTGAACAATGATTAGATTAAATGTTATTTACGCAAAAAAGGACTCCACGTTGTCGATGTACCAAAAACATTCACGATTTAATAATGGTTATAATGATGTCAGGGGCGTTATTAAATCTTTGGAAGGTTCGAACATTGTCAAATCGATTATGAGTTACCGAAAATATTCTTATTATGTATACAACAATAACTTTCAGAATCAATTGCTACCTTGGTACATGTACATAGGAGGGTGTTTGTTGTTTATCTGCTTAGTCGTGTTGTCCGTCATTTATATCACGTTTCAAGGGTAAAATTTTAAATATCTTTTCAAGGGTTTGTTTAATTATTTCGCCAATTTTAAAAATATAAAATAGGACAATTATTATCAATAATGCTTTGAGGCATTCCCTCATAAATTATTGGATCGGGTGCTCTCTACTGCTGTTTATCTATCTTTTTGGGATCCGTTTTTTCATAAGCAAAGATGATGCCATGATCTTGATACCTCTTGCATGTAAATTAGTGGGTCTCATACTTCACTATACAGCATTGAGTGTCTTGTTTTGGCTAACATTGATTTCCAAGTAATTTTAAAAATAAATATTAATCTATTTAAAAATCCTGTTAGAAGCTAATAAAATTTATAATTTAATGCCTCCTACATTTAGCTAATAAAGAGTATTTTTGATACCATTTTGAAAAAAAAATCACGATTCTTTTCGATATTTTATCTTATATATTTTAAATTGACAATATATTTTTTTATTTTTAATCCCAATACTATTCTATAATAATTTATTGATATTTTTTTTTAACAAAGGACGATACATGATGGTATAATGTATAAGTACAAAATTGAAATGGCTAAATTAAAAACTTCATCTGTAAAGTCTCACAACAATTCATCATATTCTACTTCTTTAGTCCAGTCAGGCACATGCGTCTATGATTTAATTCAACTAAATAGAGGTCTTAACCTTCCGGAAGATTTCGATAGGAACAAAGTATTGCGAAAGGATGAGACAGATAACCCCAATTGTAGCAGAAGTTTTTTTAACTCCAAAATTGTTCCCAATCATTATTTACAGCATCGTTCGTTAGGCCAACCTAATATTGAAGATTACGATAAATTTGGACACTTAGACGCACACGCCCCAAATAATGTCTACCAAACCAATAATACCTCATTTTCTTCTAATGCGAAATTAATTTTTTCCACCGATTACAATAATAGACTTACAAAGAAATTGCCTCTATCTCCTTCCTATCCTGTTCTCAGTCATTATTTCGTCGGTTATGGAGTGAGTATCATTATTTGCGGTATCACGGCCGCCATATCCATGGAAAATTATTATTCCATCGATAACGGATAGTAATTTTATTATTATTAATATGTAAAAATGAAATTATGCAATCTCTTTTAAGTTTATATAAGGTTGTCCAATATGGAGAATTTTTGAAAAATTGGTTTGAATGATAACTTTAGTGATATATTAATTTTTATAACAATTGAGAATATACTTTATTTTTACATTTAAATATATTAAAATTTAATAATATATTAAATATAGCTGTTTCCTGGTATGGGACGTAGCACTCTGGTCATTTTATTTACCAGCCTCCATACTAATTTTGGCTAATTGTATTTTCCTAACGAAATGCACCTATATCTTTCACTATCATTTTAACAATACAATTTGTCACCATAATTATCAATGCGACAATGACAAATCGAATTCAAATAATCGGGGCTTTGATCTTTCTCCATTGTCGCAATGTCATAATCGCCACATAGAAGAACTTTCTTTCAATTTATCACCTACCGGATTCGAGGAAGATTCCTGTTCAAAACGAGACATGACGAATTTTAAATATGATAAATGTTGTAGGGAGCAAGGCTATCCTAATTTCAAACCCCAAAACTATCAAAATTTTATTTGCGATACGTATCATGACACTCACAGTGAAACCCTTAGTTTACTTCCCTCCGATTCCCTTGATCTGTGTCCTAAATTTATTAAGATTGATATAGAAGAAGGCATAAATCAACAACATCCGCTTTTTAAAACCAATAACTACGATAAACAAAATAAACATAATCGATGTAGGACAACAGCTGTATCAAACCTCAAAAATAGTTTCGAATCAATACCCAACCACTCAAAATTAAAATCATCGCCCACCATCTGCGAATATAGGTATTCGCAAAATAAAAATATCAAGATCTCCAAACGCCGTGCAAGGCGAAATAATAGGAAAAGACAATATCATCATCAGTTTTCATACGATAACTTTTGTTTCGCTAAACAATGTGTTCCCATCGGAAATCATAAATTATGCGATAAAATGGACAAGGATGTTATTTGGCTAACTAAAAACTTAAAAACGCGAAATCTCTTGCATAATTTGGCTCACAAACAACGCGACAATCCTAAGGAATGGAATTATCAAAGCCAATCAATAAATCATCGGGTTCGTAAACAATTGATTCCCCCTTCTGATTATCATACACCAATTCGGTGTGATAAGAATAATACCTTAAGTGATTTATCGACTAATATTTTAAACAACCCGTCTTACGTGCTTAATTTAACTAATGATAATGAAAATCAAATAGAAAACGTGATAACACGTTCGGCAAAATTTGTGGTCGATGGTCAAAAATCGATTCCTAACTTGATAAAGTTTCACCTTCTCACCATGCTAGCCCTCTTTATATTGTGGCACATGGCCGGTCTCAGCATTAAGAAAGACGTTCAGGTTTCTCCAATATTCGATGTCAAAGATATGGATATCGATCGAGTCAAATTGGGTAGCTTGACCAAGCAACAAAAGGCACAGGATGATTATCAACCATCGTTTTATTATTTCATGGATGATGAAAATGATAACATGTTCAATCGATTTGATCAAAAGGCTCATATGTCTAATCTTCATTTCTATGGTGGCAACAAGATAGGATCTTCTACTGAAAATATCAAACGTATTTACGTGAGATCGGACTTTGCCAAATTTTTATTCTCTAATAAAGGTTGGCCTCTTCAAGCTGAACTCACAGGGGAATCAAAGCTAGATCCTAACCATTTACGGTATTATCTGGATTACTTCGCCTCTTATTTTAGAAACTCGAATTCCCTGAACCCACATGTTGTCGATAATAACATTTATACGCATAATTCCTTTACCCAAATGAATAAAAGACGTAGACTTAGATTAAGAGGCGGACTGCCCTCCTACGCTTTTACGACTATAAGCATAATGCTAGGGCTGACACTTTTTTTCTACCATGGACTGAGTAGGGATGATATAGTTAAGCCCTTCAGGAACATTTTATGGCTCAAAAATTTTGTGGGCCAAAGAATGGCACATGTTGATGATTTGTCCAAAAAAAGATACTGCCAATTTGTGTTACCTTACGATAACAGGTTAAACGGCGTTCGAACTAGTCAACATGGTGAAGCAAATAATATGAAAATAAAAAATAGTGAAATTGAATCTTTGTCTATTGTTAGGGATAAAATCTTAAATACCTCTCAATCGGCTTTTAATAGTAATATGGTTTTGCGGCAACATTATTCGTGGGTTCCGGCTACAAACAATAGGAAGAAGAAAATTATCAGAGGAATTGGGAAATATAGTCGATCGACTAATATACCAATCATCATGATGAACGTATTAAATCATCACTATGGTGATCAAATTGCAAGCCGCCATGACATTTCTTATGCCAAAGCCAGCACATCGAATGAACAGGAGGGAAATCATTTTTGGTCATCTCGTTGGTATCGTAGCAAACCCGCTTCTAACTAGTAGGACCAAACAAACCATCATGAATAAATTTTCTTTGAAAGTGAACTGAAGCGACAAGAGATTTTTGGTTTGTGTTTTATTTAATTTATAATAGATTTTGATTTTGTTAAATTTAATTAGAATTAGATTTTGTCTTGTTGAATTTAATTTTATTGAATATCTCAGGTATAACTCTTACATATTTAATTATTACGAATAACCATTAATTTTAGAGAGGAGTGCAATATATAATTTGCTAGGTATGTACAGATAATATCAAATAATACATTTATATAAATTCTTAAATTTACAAATCATGAATATGTGAACATATTAGATATATTTATAATGTACAGGGTATATGATAATATAATAACTATTGTTCTAGACATGCAAAAATTGATATTTTAGTGTGATGTAAAAATTTTAATTGCATATGCGAATAAATCAATTCATATTTCTCAATCTTATCATTAAAAAATAAAATTTTGTATTCTATAACATGCCTACTTTAAATTATTTTGTCATTATCAAATGTATTAATTTTATTTTTTATTCAGGAATCCGATCGTAAGAATATCTGTTCTGGTTCAGATTAAAATAACGGTTCGGTTCATGAAAAAATAATATCGATTTGAATTATTCAGAATAAGGTAGATCCATTGAACCAATTTGAATTATGTAGTGTGGCACATTGTTTTAAACATTTTTATCATAAAAATCTATAAATAATTAACATTAAATTTTCAACTAACTATTAACTTGTTTTTCCAGGCTTATTTCTTTTTGAGTGTATAAATTTTTTATTAATTATTGTGTAAATAAGAAAAGTGAATTTTCTTTTTTAGATCTTTTAGTTTTTTAAATAAATTGTTTCTTTATTGGAATTAGAGGTGGGCGCGGGCCTAATTTTTTATTCACGGCCCGCCCGCTCACGGTTGCAATAAAAAAATTCACTCTAACCACTAAAAAAATTTTTACCCGACCCCCTCGCTCACGAAAGGCAATATTTTAATTCATGCCTGAAAATTCACGGTGTTTTTAAATTTTGCAAAACTATTGCTATTATTTTATATTTTTTGCTTACAAGATTTCAGTATATTAGGAGCCCCATTGGGAGGTGCAGAGGGAGTTTTTAATCTTTTAAATAATCACCTTCAATCACTATTCCCCAAACTATCTATCTTAAAAAAATTACCCATCCATCAAGCATATAACATTCTCAAAAACGCCCTTTTAATACCACAAATCCAGTATTGTTTAAAAACTTCTGGTGCCTTCTCTTTAGAAATTTTTTTAAAAGAATATGAACAAAAGATACTACAATGATGACAGAGTTATTAAACATCAAAATCGATTCTAACTCATGGCTTCAAGCAACTCTCCCTTGTAAATCTGGAGGACTAGGCCTAAAATCGGCATTAAGTATGGCCCTTGTTTCCTTCATCTCATCAACCTTATCAGTAAAAAATATTACCTCGCAAATTATTACCATCGATAAAGATAATTTATTAGATGAAGCCTTACGTTGTTGGAATATTAATGTCTTACCAAACACAGCCCCACCAGATTCAACGAAACAAAAAGATTGGGATCAAGGATTGGTATCTCGTTCCTTAGCTTACCTCAACTTGAGCGATGATCACCAACATAAATCCCTCCTAAGATCTCTTAATTTCAACAACTCTGGCCATGAGTGGTTAGATTCATATCCCACTATTTTAAATAACCAGCTAATAGATAACGACTCTTTTCGTTATGCAATCAATTTACCCTTGGGCGTACCTTTCCTAAACCATTATATTTGCATTAAATGCAATCTTTAGGCAGACGCGTATGGGAGACACTCTCTCCACTGTAAATTTATATCAAAAATCGGCCGGCATGATAAAATAAATGCAATAATAGCTTCTTTTTTAATAAAGCCAATTTTCCCTGTATTTTAGAACCTACATCCTTTTTAGATAAAAAACGCCCTGACGGCAAATCCGTCGTACCTTTTTTCATGGGAAAGCCTTTAATGTGGGATTTTACCTGCATTGATCCCATGGCTCCATCTAATAATTCCCATGATCCCCTTAACAGAGCCGAATCTTTAAAAAATATAAAATACTCACACCCAATGTGTGATAACCACTTTGTTACTATAGCAGCTACATCAACCTGCTCTTTTGGACAAGCGGCTTTAGATCTATTCAAAACAATATCCAAATCAATAAAAAAATCATACCTTTCTCCATTTTACAAACTTAAGCAGAAAATCGATGTATCTATAATTAGATCTAATTATCAAATATTTAAAACATCATGGCCCGACCTCGCTATTTGATATTTTTTTTAAATGTTTTTTTCTTTTTATAAAAATATACATTTGTATCAATCTTCTTTTTTTTAACTTAAACTGATATATGACATATTTTATTATATTCTCTATATTATAATTTTAATTTTTAAATAATAATATTTTATCATATTTATATATGAATTTTATTTTATATTTTTTGAATTTATTTTACTTATTTCATTAATCATAATCCATATTAATAATAATAAATAAATATATCGAAATTTTTATTGAGAAAAAGAAGAATGTCCATCTTTTTATTTCATTGTGTACGCCTTTCCTCTAAAGAGATTGGTTGCAGAAAATAACCTTTGACTAGACACCGAACTTGCCGGGGCTGACAAAATATTGCTCGCTAATTTTCTCAAAAAAGGAAATGAATATTCCTGCTTCCAAAACTTCAAAATATGGTCTTGATATTTGTCTTATGAGTGATGAATATTTTAAGTTCGTCCTCACAGCTTTTATCGAAGATGTTGATGCTTCATCAGAATCATATAGAAATTTCTAAATTTAGAATATACGGTCTTTTATGATGTAGGATGAATTAGCAAAGTTATAAATGATAGTTGACCATTTAGAATATACGGTTTTTTATGAGTTTAGGATGAATTAGAAAAGTTATAAATGATAGTTGAACATTTAGAATATACGGTTTTTTATGAGTTTAGGATAAATTAGGAAAGTTATAAATAATAGTTGGTATTGACTTATGCATATCATCTAATTTTATATCATTTAGCATTTTTAAAGTTGTTTTATCATTATCATCCTTTTCTTCTTCTAATAAAAACTTAAGACTTTTGAAATTGGGATCTAAAATTAAGCCTACCTTATGTAGTGGCTGCATAATAGATCTTTCTTTTAAAAGAATCTTGTTCTGTTTTTTAAGGTTTTGATTATTATTGTATCACGTTCAGAAGGTTACCAAAATTTTACTTTGTTTCCATAGATAAACTCAACTCCATTTATTGTTGGACGAGAATCTGCGTTCAGATTATCCGAACATTCTTTAAATATTAATAAAAATTTATCTAACTCGAGTATGATTTAATATCAATTGTGGCTAAACTATTTAATTCTTGCTTGCTAAACAAGTGCACCTGTATTTCAGAATATGATTTTAAGAAACTCTGTATCATGATATATACAGAGTCATCTCGTTATTACATCTTGTTTAAAGGTGTGGTTTAGCTTGCTATTAGCTGTAGATTCTTTGAAATATTATACTATAATTTTACACCATATATTTAAGGATATTTCAGTTAAACAATTGTCAAAAATATGATGCATAATATTATTTAGTATATAGCATATACATGCTAGCGTTTCGTCATCTTTGAATGCATTTATAAGATTTGCTCCGTTATCAGTCACACAACTAAACATTTATTTAAATAATTTTCTACTGTGTATTCTAAAATTGAATTTACTACATTTTTAATATTGACGCCTATTTTGATTTCTCTTGTGGTCAAAACAAATTCTTTTAATTCAAAATCCTTAATGATAATATGTCCTGTAATGGTTAAAAAAAACTTTGATTTTTAAAGCCATCCGTCCAAAAATCAATGGTTATGAAGTAATTATTATTGATCATACTTTTAATCTTAATTTCATCGTATATTTTTGGAGCTATAGTATTCTTGAGAGTTTTCCTGCTCACAAGTATTTTTTTATATTTTGTTGTCCATATGTAACATCAACATTTATTAACTCTAGGCCTATCTTGTAAAATCCTTCACTTTCTGTTGCATTTAAAGATCGAAGATTTTTACAAATAAAATATAACTGACTTTTCTGTAAAATGCTTAAGCAAAATTTAGCAAAATGTCTCGCATAAAACACCTAAACATAAAAAGAAAATAGAACTAACGGAATGATAGCGGATGTTGTTTATAAAATGAGGAAGATTTTTTGTTTTTAAAAATTATTCTTTTTCAAAAAAAAATTATAGAAAATATATATTATAATTTAAATTGCAAATTTATATTTAAAAAAAAACAATTTTAAAAATAAAAATATACGTGATTCACAGGAAATTTATGTTCACGCCCGATCACGCCCATATAAAATTTTGGGAAGGCCCGTCACGCCCAATCAGGCCTTATAATTTAAAATTTATTAACATTCATGCCGTGACCCACCGTGACACGATGGGGCACGCGTAATTTCATGGCCCGCGCCCACCTCTAATTGGAATATATGAAATTTAAACGTGTTACAAAGGGTTAATATTTTAATTTTATTTTTGAAATAATGTCAATTAATATCAAATAATATAAACTTAAAATTATATAATTTTAAACAATCAATGAATATGGTAAGGGATGTATTTATATTGTGTTCTTGAAAATATCATTAAAAATCATAAAATCTTATGCCCAAGGCTTAAAAAGTTATTCGCGTCAAAATTGTAATCGCTTTACTCCGTGTGTTTACTTTAATATTATTTTCAATATTGCTATGAAATATTTCTAGGAAATATAAGCAAGATTCCAAGTTTTTCGCCATTTAGAATTTATCCCTTAACATGACTTCAAGACTTCAAACAAGGGAGTTTCGATATTTATTAAATTATCCTCAAGTGGAATCTAGGAAAATAATTCCCCGGAAAAAAATTCCTAAATATATCTTTGCCTTTTTTTTGCCCTGACCGGCAGGTCTTTGCTTTAATAAATCGAAATCTGAAATATTATTTTTTTAAATCACCTCTCGAAGTTTAGAGGTTTTAAGTAATTAAAAAAATTAAATAAATTTTTGTTGATTTTTAAAAATTTATCCCACTATTCGATATTTCTAGGAAAGAATTTTAATGGCTTATCATAACTGGAAGAAATACTTTCATATCAATTATTTTCGTTCAAAAAATATACATATTTACAATTATACAAATTTTTATACCCTAGTTATTTTAAATACTCTGTGAAATTATTTATCACTTACAGAAAATTTTTTAAAATATCAATTGGGAGATTTTAATTGAGGATTTTCACAATTGTCATAAAAATGGTTGGTCATAGAGACTTAGCTGGAAAATAAACATAATTTTTTATCTGAGCATTGTAAAAATAATCAATTGTAATGTTTCATTTTCATCGTAGTCACTCCATCTAATTTGGTGTCACATTTTCTTTCCATAATGTAAAAAATATATGAATACTTTTTATGCTGTGGCTGCTAAATTATAAAGTATCAAAGCTACCAATCCTATTTATCCAGTTTCATATTTTATAATTAATTTACTTAATTGCTCAGAATTAAAAATGAAACACCCTTTAAGCGTTGAGAATACTCAAAGCTCAGAAAATACTGAATGTACGAAAGTATTTCTTACAGATATAAAATGGAATTGCTCAGAAAACGGACATTCAGTCTAAACGGTAAATTTCTAAAATATATGAAAGAATAAAATAATTTTTTTTTTATTGATTTTAATAAAATAGTCATTATTAGCAATTATTACGGTACTTTCGCATGATTAACAAAATAGTTTCGCATTTGGATTTCGCCTTCTCTAAGTCTCTGAAAAGATTTACCATAAATATTTCTCGATATGATATTCGCTGAATAGCATGAATGTGTATTCGCGACAAATGTTTATCTATAAATTCAATTCGCTTTAATAAACATTTGCAATCAAAATTTTGCAAAAATGTGGTTTGTGATAAATGTCGCTGTCTTAATAGTTTCCTAATTTTAGTTTGAAAAAAATCCTTGAAGATTAATTTTTAATATAAATTATGATTTCAACTTGGGAGATTTTTTATTTATAGAAAAGTAAAAGATTTAATTATAAAAAATATTTGGAATTTTTAATAAGACTAGTAGAAAGCCCATCAAAAATAATGGGGATTACCATAGATGTCATGCTAGGTCCAAGCTCACAATATTAGGAAGCATCCAAGATTTTATAATTATAAAAAAGTCAACCCTTAATAATTTGTAAAAGTTATTCCCAAGTCAGGTACAAGCTAATTTTAATTTTGAGGTTTCAGCCCAATCCTACCCATTATAATTTTGAAAATTTTTTCCCACCTTGGAGATAGTTAAATTTTTAATTGATTTATCATCACATGAAGGGGAAATATCTGATTTACTAATTAGTCTACGGGTTAACTCCTAGTTATATATGTAAAAAAAAACATGTGAATTCCGTAATAAGGGAAACTGGGAAAGCCTGGGCAAACCACTTATTAGAGAATCATGACAAAATCAGGTATGCCCTGAATCAAATCTTCTTTTTATTGGAAATAACCCAATATATTGTTATGGAGAAAAATATGGATTGAAATGTCCACTGAAACATTTCTAATAAAATTTATTTTATAATGATTAATGTTTGTATCATTATTTTTTATCTATAAATAAAAATAACCGACTCTTATACTTTTTTGTAAATCAATTAAAATTATATCTAAAAAATAAATTGTTGTTTATAATATTGGGTTATTGTTTTTTAGATAAATTTAATATGTTAAGTAAAAAAAATGCTATCTATTTTACAAAAATGCATTAAACACTAATGAATATGCAAATTATTTATATATTTTTTAGAAATTTTTTTATTGACATAGAAATTTAGGCCATTTTTTAAAAAAAATAATGAGGATTAATTAATATTTTGTGTATTTGATAAAATTAAGAGCAAACCCTTGTTTACATTTTAATTTTTGATGGAAAAAGCGACAAAATAAATCTGGGCGGTCGTCTGGAGAGGAAATAATGTATAATTTCGTATCATTTAGGGTTGTAGGTGAAAGTAATGAATAATAACGGAATACCAAAGCAGTGTACACCATTACATCCTGATAAATGATGCATCCTTGGGATACTGGTAAAAGAAGAACGCAAAATGATATTTCTGTCAAAAGTGTCAGCATTGGAATCCCCCTCTAAAATAGAATCATGAACGACAATGTTAACTCAACCATAAAACGGTCGTAAATATTGTTATAAAGGCCATGACAGAACTACTGCATATTTTTCCATTAATAAAGTTGATGCAATTGGCCGTACTGCAAATTCAAGTTTGAACATTCATCTAAATATTCATAAAAGTTTCTCAGAGAATAGGATAAAGTATTTATATTAATTCCTAGTGAAGTGAATGATAGTACGGAATAAAATGCTTATATTTGTTAAAAAATAGGCAGAAGTGGCATAAGGATTGTGGTAGTGGTGAAAGAAATATCATTTGGAGGCAACTGGGTGGAAATAAAATAAACATATAGATATAAAACATTAGATAAAAAAAACAAAATAAACCTCCAGAGGAGTTCATTTCAAGAGTAGTTCTTTATTATTTTGACTACCAGTAACTCTAGAACGGGTAAGGCGCTTGTTTAATCATCATTATTTTCTTTGCTTATCTTTAATAATAGATTCATCATGTTTTGTAGCAATGTGAGGGATTAAGCCTAGACAAATAAAGAAATCAGGCAAAAATATAAATAAACTATTGTTGAAATTAAACAAACATGAAAATAATCTAAACCAGTAGATTGGGTCATTATTAGATGCATATTTCTAGTAGATGGAGGGCTATCATCAAAAAATTTTTTGGGGGGACTTATCAAGCCTATTATGATATTCTAAAGGTTTATTTTGCATTTGTTCATTATTAATGGCTGATATAACAATATTTGAACAATTATAAAGAGGAAATAAGATGGGGATAGTTTTCTAAAGTAAAAAAAAAATAATTCACAAGTCAATTTTATAAGGTAGGAATAAAATAAAATACCATTCAAAAAAATAGGATCCTTATGAATAAGTATAGAATAATTTAATTAATATATAAATACCGTAATATGTATTTTTTTTGGAATAAAATAAAATAAAATCCTAAAAATAGAAAACCCCGTTTAGTATTTTTTATTGAAAGAATAAAAAGGAGTATTGTTAAAAAAGGTAGGATCCTTAAGAATAAATATAATTTTAATTGAATAAAAAATAAATATTGTAATATATATTGATTTTTTGAAATAGATATAAAATCCTATATAAAATTATATATAATAAAAATAATGTACTATGTATATTTTTTTGAGCATTATACAAAATATTCAGCAGGGATAATAGAGCAATGGTGGATCCGACAAAATGGTAAGCTTTTAAAAAAGTAGGATCCTTAAAAATTGTTATATTAATTTAGTTAAATATTAAAAATGTACTTTGTATATTTTTCAGTTAGTTAGACAAAATATTCATCAGAGATAAAAGGGCATATTGTGCGGCCCGACAAAATGGATAGCCTTAAGAATACGTAGGATGCTTAAAATAATATGAATTGATTTAAATTATAAAAAAGTAATCGATTTTTTGAAATAGATATAAAATTATTTATAATAAAAATAATGTACTATGTATTTTTGTGCGTTATACAAAATAATCAGCAAGGATAATAGAGCAATGGTGGATCCAACGAAATGGTAAGCTTTTTAAAAAGTAGGATCCTTAAAAATTCTTATATTAATTTAGTTAAATAATAAAAATAATGTATTTTGTATATTTCTCAGTTAGTTAGACAAAATATTCTAATCAGAGATAAAAGGGCATATTGTGCGGCCCGACAAAATGGATAGCTTTAAAAATACGTAAGATTCTTAAATAATATAAATTTGCTTAAATTATAAAATAATATCATACTAAGTATCACTCGTATTCGTATAAACCGGGATTAGTCGGATATAACCTCACGATATACCACATTGGTTGTAGTTCTTGTTTTATCATAGGTTATAATCTTTAGTTTATGAGGAGAACAAACTCGAGACATAGCCACATATAGCTGTCCATGTAAAAAACAGAATGAGGTAAATAGATGTTAACTTTGTTCAACGTTTGTCCCTGAGCTTTATTAATTGTCATGACAAAAGCAGGTCTCTCAGGAAATTGGCGACGCTTAAAGGAAAATGGCAAGCCAGAATCTGTAGGAATTAAACTTATTATAGGAATGAGAACTTTAGTACTGAGAAAACTACCAGAAACAAATTCCATTTTAATTATATTTGGTAGCAAAGAAGTCCCTAATAATTTTAAAAATCAAGCCAATATTAATTTTGAGAAATATTTTGTAAGCCCAGTCCAACCCATAATAATTTTTAAAAAATTTTCCCAAACCTGGAAATATTAAATTTATAATTAATGAATGGGAAATCTCTGATTTACCAATTAATCTATGAGTTAACTCCTAGTTATATATGCAAAAAAACATGTGAATTGTAATAAGGGAAACTGTGAAAGTCTGGGAAAACCACTTATTAGAGAATCATGACAAAATAAGGTCTGCCCTAATAAAATTATAAGAAATAACAAATATTACCTCTTACTATTGGAGATAACTCCAAAAATTAAGTAATGGAGAAAAAATCTCTGACGTACAAGTTAAATTGAACTTCTATATAAAATATTAATAATTTGTAATATTTTGTAAATAGATATATTTAATATATTACTTTAACATCCAATGTAAAAGTTTGTAATGATAAATTATAAGAATATTTAAGGTTTTAATATGGCATCCTACAGTTGCCTAGAAAACTTAAGTTATAGGATCATCTGTTTGTATAGAAAAAAAAATAATTAATAAGTTGTAATATTTTGTAAATCGATATATTTAATGTTACTTTGATATCCAATACTAACATAGGTTGTAAAATTTTGTAATGATAAATTATAAGAATATTTAAGGTTTTAATATTGCATCCTTCAGTTGCATAGAAAACTTAAGTTATAGGATCATCTGTTTGTATAGAAAAAAAATAAATAAATAAAATAAACAAATAAAAAAAATAAATACGTACGAATGACGTAGCGATGTGATGTAGTGACGACATGACGTAGCGATGACATGTGTAGCGACGTAATGACGTCAAGATGACGTAGTGAGGACGTCGGAAAATTATAATATAGATTTGTTCAGAAATCTAATTTTTAAAAAAGATTTTTCTCAATTTTTTTTTAATGATTAAGTTATTTTCCTTAAAATAAAATATTAATTATGACAATTGTCATTTTTATATTTCATCATCACTGAAATCATAATGTAACATTTATTTTTACCAATTTGATAAATTCAAAAAAAATTGCAAATATAATAGTATACATCTTACTTAGATAATATTTTAAAAAATATTTTCATATTTTTTGGCGGCAGGGTTATTTTTGATATTTAAAAAATTATTAAGGGAATTTTTTTCTAGGGAATCATTTTCCACTTTATATTTTTTTAAATCGAAAAAATGGGGAATTTTTTTCTTGCCAATTATCTTCCAGTGGGATTTTTTTGAAAAAATTTATTTTTGATCAGTAAATTTATCGGGTAGTATTTATATTTTCAAAAAAATAATACTTTGGGCAGTATTTATCAGGGACGTGAACCCTTCTACAAAAAAAAAGGGTCCGGGTTCGGGTATAAAAAAAAATGAGACTCAAAATAAGCCTTTTTTCATTCATTTATTATTATACTTCAATATATACACATTCATAATTTACAATTAAAAAATTTATAAGTGAAATAATTTATATTTTAAATGTTTTATTCAATTGCACTATCATAATATTTTCTAAAATATCATCCTTGAGATTTCCACGTAAATTAGATAATATATATTTCAAAGATGAAAATCCACCTTCTACGCTTACCTAAAAAGATAGTTATCTTTATAATACATAAATTATTGTACTTGTGTGGCCGGTACAGCCATGACGATTCTACACAAGATATATAATTCTGGACATATTGAAGAATTTTCTTCCTAGAATTTTCAAATATTTGTATCCTTATTTATTCTCTTAACTTCTGAGAACTTTTTAATTAAAGATCAATAGGCATTTTTTGATCCTCCTTTCTATCTGATGATAATTTGATTTTTTTTTCTCTATCTAAATGTAAAATTTTAAGATCATCAATGTTGCTATCATTATCATTATTATACTACAACCAGTAGATATTATTGTCGTAGCCTTCAATATATTGTAAATAATGGAGTTTTGCGTATGCCATAAATCCTTAAGATGGTCTTTAGCCATTTGTTTTTGCTCAATACTCAATAAAGTTTTATATCGAGGGTCTAAATATATAGAAGGGTATACAACACTATTTTGCAAATATTGTTGCTCTCGAATTTTCATGTTTTCTAATATTTCATATAAAAAAGAACTAATAAATCTTTCTAAATCTAATTGACATCTAATCCATATGCCATAAAAATCAGATAAACATAATTTTACTGATTGTAATTTTTATTTTGTTATTTTTAAAGGAACTAATACACTAGTAAGGTCCTTTATTTGGCAGCAATCATCTTCCGACAAAATGACAGCATATACTCCTATAATAAAATCATTACAGAAATCTTTCAAACCTAATAATCGTTCTAACATCATAGAGGACCAGCGTGTTGTGCATCTTGCCATTGACCTTTTCATTGATTTTAATATTCCTACAATTGTGGGAATTCTTAAAAATTTTGCAACATCCCCTGCTTTATCAATGATAGTTTTAAAGTTTATTTTTTAGGCAATCATTAATAGGTAGTTTTAGGGTATGGGCTGCACATCTGATGCAATATATATTTATGGGGATATCTATTAATAAATTTACATAATAAATAATGAAAATATTATGTAAATTTATAATTATTTTCACTAATATCATCTTCTTGAGTAATTATTGTTTTGACTGTTGTATCTATATAAAATATTAATAATTTGTAGTATTTTGTAAATAGATATATTTAATGTATTACTTTGACATCCAATACTTGCATATGTTATAAAATTTTGTAATGATAAATTAAAAGAATATTTAAGGTATTACTATGGCATTCTACAGTTGCATGGAAAACTGAAGTTATAGAATCATCTGTTTGTAGAAAACAAATAATAAATAAAATCAACAAATAAAAAAAATAAAAATAAATACACTCCGATGTCATGACATCACGATGACGTAGTGAGGACATCGGAAAATTATAATATAGATATCTATAATTTTTATAAAAGCCTTGTCACACTGTCAGTCACTCTTTCACAATTTATAATATATTTAAAAAATCGTTAATTTTGAAAAGTGTCTGTGGCCCAATCGGCAAGAGCGTCGCTTATAAATCTCTGATGGACTTAGGTATGAATCCCAGCAAAGATTTTTTTTTTCTTAATCTGGCAAAATTAATCAAATAGAAGATACGATTCAAAGTTTGTAGCTACTTTAAAATTCAAACTATTAAATATATATTCTTTTATTTTTAAATTCTTAATATTCTTTTAAAAAATATTTGTCCAATAAAAATCACCATATAATCATATCATATCAAACATTCATTCATCTTCCATTAATCATAAAACCATTACCATCTTATACATCATCATATATATACACTAGAACTAACTGATATATTATAGATATTCTTACACAATCTTATATTAATATTACACTATTCAATTTTGCATAATTAATACATATATATATTTTTACAAGACTTACATAAATTTCTTATTTTAATTATAGTTTTTAATGCTATGAATTTTTTCTTAAAAACCATTTCGTGGAAAATTTAAAAAATTGCCATGAAGGTCCTATTTTATTGCCTTTTCTACATTTTACATAATTAATACATATATATTAAATAATTTTTTTTAAGAATATCTCATAGGAAATGGAAGTTAAATTTCTAACAGTAAATTTTCAATCTTTTATCTTTTTTTTATTATTGTTTCCATGATGATCATAAGATAGAAAAATTTCTGATTCATCCATCGATAAAGGTAAAATTTATTATTCATTCATTATTGAAAAGAAGAAAATTCTGATTCCCCGTCATTTGACAGGCTATCAGCTAGTATTCTATAATCTATCTATTATATATAAGCCGTGTCACAGTCACAGTGATACAATTTATAATATATATTTAAAAATTCACGATTTTTTAAAAGCGTCTGTGGCCTAATCGGTAAGAACGTCACTTATGTGAGGGTCATGGGTTTGAATCCCAGCAAAGATCTTTTTTTTTCTTAATATAACTTTAAAAATTCATTTAGTAATATTTTATTGAGCAAATAAATATAATAATAATATAATGAAAATTCAAATGTTACGATTATATATTTATATTGAATGTAATGAATATATCAGAGACCTGTAGATACCGTTTTCACAGGTTGCCCTAGATTTTTTAAAAAAATTTTTTTTGGCATGACCCGGTCTGATTTTTTTAAAAATATTATATATTTATTTTTAATTTTTATAGATAATAATGGCTATTTAAATTATTCAGCCCGAACTGGGTATCTTTAAAAAAATTTTTAAAAAAATACCTGTATCAAAATATATTTTCTTATAATTAGGATCATCTTAAAAAATGGATTCATATCATGAGAAGATGCAAACTTATTCAAAACTCTGTGGTTAACAATTTACCAAGGAGTGCTTTGTGGCTTTCATTGTTAATAAAAAAAATCCTTAAGGAAGGATTCATTCCCACAATCTAATATAATAAATATTTGCATTTTATATGATTACTAGCTGATGTCCTACATGAATGACAAGGAATTAGTATTCTCCTATGGATTAATCAAAAATAAGCCTATATGAGGTGAGAATCAGAAATTTTAATTATTTTGATGAGAGTTAATTCCAAAATTTTCATTATTCTTATAATATTCAATATGAATAAATATTTGAAACATGTATACTTTTTTTAAATTATATTAATTTTTTTATTTTTTTTAAATTTTATTATTTATGTACTCAATAAAAAATTTAATCTTGCTAGATGATGGTTTTGTAAATTGTTATCATGTAACAGATTTTGGATTTGGACTTATTAAGAATGAGTCTTTTAAAATTGGCTTCAAGAAATTGAAAACCAATTATTTTAGGAAGAGCATCTTATATTGTTCCATCATCAAGATACCAAATATTTATATCCTAATCAAATTTAGATTTAAGATAATGGATGAGATAATGAATACCAAAGTAAAATAAACGAGGACATGTGCCCCCTGCTGGATCCTTTAGTCAGAA